GCGCACCGACACCATTTCGATTTATCCCTGCTATCTTCTCACTGTATTTTCACTTATCGTTTTATAATTTACCTAGTACAATTATGCTATGAAATGATCTATTTTAATATCTATAATTATATTTTCTAAGAATAAGAATATACATATGAGTAAAAATGGAAGTACCTAATTAGCTAGCATTAAACGAAGAGAAAATAGGATTACATATTTTATGAGTTCGTAGCCCACTCATTCACAAATGGTATATATTAATTATATAAATCAAAAATAAGTTTGCCATCTCGACCGTCCCCGAATAGGGTAATCAGAAACATTATCAACTGTTGCAGTACAGCATTATTTGATATGGCAACATTTAACTTGGCAGAAAGCAAGCCTACCATCGACTCTCGGATTAAATTGGTTTGATATTGGTTTTTCACTCATCGGAGAATCAGTGGGATATATAAATTGAACCACAAAGTTTTTTGTGTTTTTGAGAAATTCGAAATCAGGATCCGTGGGTTCAAGTCGGGATAATATACCACTAGAGCTACAATATACCTACTCCATCCGAAAGATATAAACAAATGAGTTTTCATCTATTTCGGATGTACCTAATCTGTTTTGCACTTCTAAAGAAATAAAATCTTGTTAAATTCTTTTTCATGACTAAAATTAACGGCTACGATTAAAACTCGGCATTGAAGACCACATTATATTCACAATGGGTGTCTAAAGGTCGTAGCAGTCTGACAATAATAGCCCTTATAATGTGGCAATATTAAAATTAGGTAAGCAAATTCTTATTCACCTTTATATCTAGTTTTTTTGTTTAATTTATATTTAAACCTTTTATTCGGGTATAAGTAGTAGATCCACCATTTAAGGATCAAAGCGTATTTAAAGTACTTAATTAATGTTCCCAGATCGCTCCACGTTGAAATGGAAAGTTACAACAAGTGAAGGCGCGAACCACAGAGGCTTAAGCATCACGGCATCAAAGGAGGGCCTTAATTAGCGAACAATAACCTGATAACCTGTATAAAATAGATACTCAACATTCAATACCTTATTGTCTATCTCTATCTAATTTCAGTGTAGGTCTCTGTTATAACGGATACTTTAAATACAGATAAAGGTAATATATGTAGGTATATAGAAGATTTTATTACTATATAAACCTGTGTTATGCTTGATAAATTTATACAATATTCTACTGTATTCTTATTATTACGATTATTATCATTAATATGGTTCTATGGTTCATACCATACTAGCTATCCGCCCCCGTTTCGCACAGGTATATTGTACATATAAATCATCCTCTTGAATCACTCTATGTATTAAAAAAACCGCTTCAAAATCCGTTGCATGAGGGAGGTAGGGATAGACAGCGACCGCGACTTTGTTTTATACTGTGTAATATATAAAACAAAGTCGCTGACTGTAATGATACCTAATGGAATGGTGCACCCCCCTTCACTGACGGCTTACGCTGGCGAGGCACCAATGGAGGATGATAAGATGAACATGAGATCAGGCAAGTCAGCCCATCATGACAAATTCACCAAGAATTTGACATTATGGTTTCCAGAGGGCACTGCGTGCAGGTCAACCTAACATGGTAGGTACATTACTAGCAATGGGGTCATCAGTCCCCATTTCCCTTCTCCCAACAATGTATTTTGTTCCCTTCATGCGACCTTCTGTCCCTTTCCAATAGGGTTCTAAATTCGAACGAGCCTAGATTTGTTCCTATCCGACTAAAGATGATCTACAACAGCTCCTTAAGTCTTTACGTGTGTTTGGAGTGACTTCTGCACTTACCCCTGTTTCCATCCATATTTCGGAAAAAAAAGTGTTTTTTGTAAACCTTTCGGGAACAATTCAATGTATCATCACTTCATGATTGTTTGTTACTCCAGTATTTTTTAATCTTTATCATATAATCTTAAGTTGTAAGATATCTATGCCTGAATTAAGTTCGCTAGGATATCGACTTTCCCATCATCGGCCACAGACATCAAGATGATAAAGATGAAATCGATTATAGAGTCAATAAACTGGTTCATAACAGACTTCATGTATTAGGGTTATATAAATCGAATTACCTAATCTATTGATATATATGATACGATTATACTTAACTCATTTCAACATTCCCGAATCTACATCAACATCATATAAATCTGCATCAGAGAAAAAGACTAAAATAACAGCAATTATTTTAAAAATACTTATGCATTATTTAAGTCAGTCCACTGAATGGAAAATACCGTCGTTTATAGACGTGAACATCACAAAAGAATCTGCGAAGCTCGTAATACCCTTCATACATTGCTGAGACTAAGGTTATTTTCGTTGCAACTTAGCAACATAAATAATGAGACAGGTGATCCTCAAGTCGACTTTGCACAAAGACTCCCTTTGGTAGTCTTTCAACTAGATTAATTTATTAATTCGTTTATGTAAAAAATGCATGCAGCACGCCATTTTATTACACTTCAATCTTAATATGTATCAGATATAGGTCCATCCACGCATTTATACTGGCACATCTGATATTTGTATCTGCTTTTAGTGTTGTATGCATGACTGTCCGCTTCAAAACCGTGGTAGTGATTTTTTTTAAGATATTGGAATGTAAATGTTGGCGACTTATCAGATGGTATACGATAACCATCGCTTATATACATGAACATCACTACAGACATCACGTTATCCTGTGATATTCGTGATATCAATCGTGCGTTGTCATATCAGTCGTGCGTTGTCATTTCACATAATATATTACCGATGGTTTCTATCATGTTATCTATGTATATGCAAATGTTATCGCTTACCATTCAAGAGGCCGTCAACAAATTTGTTAATACAAAAAATAGTAATCAGTTGGCCCGACCCTAGATCAAATTCAAATCTTAATTTAAGCTAAGCAATGTACTAACGAAACTCTTCTGAGGTAGTAATACGTACATTTGTAAGCCTATCTGACGTCAAGCTAACCATTATGTACTTTTCAGCGCAGTTGGTAGATAATGAAGATCGTTTAGTGGCACAATCAGTGTCACATCTGTGTTCTTGTATTTATCAGACCTCTCTTTCACCGGGACGTCCCAGACGAACGTCCCCAAGTGAAATGGAGTTAACATCGTTGAACGTAATTTCTGAAGAGGGTCATCAGGAAGATATAATGCCATTTCTGTACCCTTGATGTCTTTTTAAGTGCGAGCCCACTTAACCCTAACGCAGGGCGGGGACTGGTGCTATTCAATGTCGCATCTGAAAACTAATGGAAACCGTTATGTAGGTATGTGTGGTAATAATCGCTATTCTTTATTCAGTTTCTCTGTAATATCTACTAGTTCATGCAGATTGTCATGCTAGAATTAAACCTAAGTTAAAATTAGTAATTTTAAACAGTTGGCAACTGATAAGATTACGTAATAATTGTAAGCCGAGTGTTCAGGAGTACCTACTTAGATTCAGACCGGCTAGTTTGACACCAAATTTTTAAAATAAATATTCATAACTTTTTTTTGTAAAAAAAATTCTTCACAGATTGTCTTTATGTATATATATATGTGAACAAACTGTTCACATATATTGTACTTCTACTACATCTATGATTTCGACAGTTAATAATAATATATTAGGTAGTACAAGTAGTAAAGTAGCGTATTTACTATCGTAAAAATATTAACTGATTAAAAAATAGATAGTCTAGCCCCTGAGAAAGGACATAGGCCACTTTTAATATGAAAAATGATTGTAAGGGGAATTGTATGGAAGTATTGTCATTAAAGCTAGAAGATTATATTTATTTTTTAGCCTGTTGACTAAATTATCAATTCTCAATCAATCAAAATCTAATTCATCAATCTTTCATATCCACACCAAGGGGTTGAAAACATAAAAGATGTAAGTACCTATCTATTGTCATTTTAAAGCTAGAAGCTTGAAACTTACTTTTTAGGCTGTGGATTAGGATATATATATATATATATAAAGGAAACTGGTTGGAAACGAAAAAGGTTTTATGGAAGTATCGTCGTTTTTAAAGGTGGTAGCCTAAAACTTTTTTTTTTGGGCTGTTGATTATCTGTAGATACTGATGTAATGTACTTTTTGGTATTTTAGCAAGTATTCTTCATATACGTGAAGAATTTAGATTATAATATTATCACAATGGACTGACTTGATATAGAATTTAATTACAAGATTTCGATCTCTTGCACCCATCTGTACTTTCTTCCGTTAATTGCCTCTTTTCTGATGAAAAAGGCAATTAACGGAAGAAAGTACACGTGAAAATATATATATATATCAGTCTGTTAAAAATATTAAAGATTATCAGACAGTTTTAACCATAGACAAAAATAAACGATGTAAAATTTATCATAGTGGCTATATCGAATACCCCTAATTAATGTAACAATGATAATTCTACATACCTATAGCTATATATATATAATATTAAAATTATATAGTAATAATAATTAATCAAGTAGGTACAACTATATTTTTTATTCATATTCTACGCCATATTTACGTCAGTGTTCCCAACAAAACAAACTTTGAATAGTGTTGCAACTAGTAATCTATAATTTCAACTATGCTTTCATTCACAATGAAGTAAAGTATTTTTTAAACATAATGACTTTGTCGTATTTAAAAAAAAACATGTAATATCACTATTAAGATAATCCCTGACAAATATAATATGAGTAGCATAAAAGAATATTTTTAAAGATGTAAAATCAATGTATCAAGATTGGTTATAGAACTGTACTGTTAAAATAGATTTGAAACTGAAATTTACAGTACAAAATTGGTATCTAAATAATTTCTCGAATAATAATTAACTTAACATTTGGATTCAGCAAAATTATTAATATATCCTAAATTATTTGGAAGTTATTGTTGCTGTATTGACTACATTAAAATTGAACAGACATGAAGGAAACAGCAGTAATGCCAATCGAGCCTTGCGCCGCAGTTTTGATTTGACAGTTCTCCGCGTCCAACAGCTGTTTTACCAGTCGTGGGGTGCATAGTTTATACTTATTGTTTCCACGTGTTTACTTATTAGAATATATTCAGTTTTTAGGTTTAACTCGCAATGGAAGAGGATGGAAGCATTAAAGGTGAGCAAATGAAACCTTTACCAATATATATGGAACAGTATTTGGGTCATCAAATAACGTTATCACTCCGAAAGAAGACGCTACGCATGCTTCTAATCTAGAAACATGTTCTAAAAATTATAATTGTAATATATGTTTATCTAACAACTAATTTGGAGTCCTTTATGTTGCATATCCATGCGGCTCTTTTTGCGCATCATAACCCCTCTTATGGCGTGTATGTAGAATTATAGGATCATGTGCGAAGTATCAAACTTCGCTCTTTTGTGAACACATTGTATATAATTATAGATATTTGCCGTATTCCGTATGTAAATAATCAATATAGACACGTTATTCAACATATTTGAACAAAATTTGGATTTCGTTACGGTTAATAATGGCACTTAAAGCACAACTTCACTTAAAAAAAATCACTAACTTTGGGTACATTTTAAAAATTATTTATATATATATATATACAGTACTACACATAATAGCGGTGCGTGTGATAAAAATGTTGTTGAAATACATAGAGGAGCTCCTCTACACTATGCATTTAAACAAAATTTTTATCACCTCAAAATAAATTGTGCAATTTATCACAATTGTAATTACATTGCTTCTACTTGTTGTGTTTGTGTACTTCTTGCCAATAGTGTAGCACATTCTTCCAAAATGTTAAATTTGTATTTTTAATATGCAATAGTTTTACCCAGACACACAGTACATATAGTATACACAGAGTATGAAATATTTATAACCCCAAATATTGTTGATTATCCTTAAGTGAACAAGCTATTTTATGTTGACTTTAATTCGCTTGATATGAGATATAGAAGTTGAATGTTTTACTTTTCAGCTCCTGTCACACGTATGCGGCGCAGACTCTCTGTGGAACAGAATGATGACACAAAATCACCTTCAACTCCTTCCACACCTACCAAAAAAAGAAGTGCTAGAGTAGCTACAAAACCACAGCTAGATTTAATTGATGAAAATGGTACGATTTAAGCAGTTAATTGTCTGTTTATTAGATTCATTTTATGGAAATAAAACTTATTTCTATAAAAGGACACTGTGAACAGTGGGATGTCTGTATTCTAAATGTACATAAAATTATAATACCTTTAATTATTAATCTGTACCCATATTATAATATTAATTGTATATCTATCTGTTTATTCTCTTTTCACAACTACAGAGATCTTAATAAAAAATAATGTATGTTAAATTAGATTATATTATGAGGACTATTGTGTATCTAAAAAACACAGGAAATTGCAAGTAATAGCTAATCTTTACTGATATTATAAATGCGAAAGTAAATCTGTCTGTCTGTCTTGCTTCTACACTAAAACAACTAAAACGAATAAAATTAAATTTGGTATACCGATAGACCCTGAGAAAGTTCTATCTATCTTTTTCGCATCGCAAAAAGACACAGGTTACTTTTTGCTATGCAAAAAAAGGGTTGAAAGGGAAGATGAAAGTTTGTCTGGAAGTATCATCATTTTGAAAGCTAGAAATTTGAAACTTTTTTTTAGACTGTTGATTAAATATAAGTAAATATGATACTTCTAGTTTCTAAAAATGTTATCCTTTGCGGGGTAAATAATGAAATGCGGGATGAAAGTTTGGATGGAAAATTATTATTTTTGAAGTTACAACATGAAACTTTATTTTGGGTTAGATTATTGAACATTTCTTTACTTGATCAAGGTCACTATAATATGCGAAAACGCGGGCATAGCTAGTACTGCATATATTACTATGATTACTACCTATATCAAAATTTATTTTCCAAACAAATTCACTGTTATGTTACTAAAGTGGGTAATTTGTAAAAAAAAAGTAGTCTATATATGTAATTTCAAAAATATATCAGAACCTGACGCAACTGGATATGAAAGTGATGATGAGAGTCTTGTAGTTATACCATCTCCACAAAAATGGGCTGACATCATTGGAGTATCAGGGCCACAAGATATTGTAATGCCAGGAAATACAGGTGAGATATAGATATACTAAAGAGGGTAATTTCTAAAAAAGTAGTCTATACATAACTTTCTGTCCAAAGTGCTCCAAGAAATATGTGTTGTAGTGAGTATATAATAATCATAATACCAGTATATACATGTCATTTCAGCTTCAGATAACACTCCTAAAATAGTCACAAGAAAGACGAAAACGAAAGATGTTCTAGAAGAAGAGAAACCTCTTACACCATCTCGACGCAGCGTCAGAATCAAGTCTAATACAAGCATTGTTGCAGTTACTCCTCAAGCCTTAGATTCGCCAAGAGCCAAAAGAGCTGCTAGAAGAAACTCACAAATTGGTAATTAACATATGTCTACTTTTCTCTATCTTTCTATATCTTGTCTGTTTATTAAGTCTTCATGTAAAAACGACCGTAATATAAAGAATAATAATTGTTTTTGTTAATATCTTACAATGAGTCCATACACATACAATTTTATCAATTAATTTATTAAAGTTATAAATGGAAGTCAAAGAGATGCTTAACTTAATGTATTATCTACAAATCCTACAAATGTCGTAGCCAAAATTACATTCTAATATTTAAAGCTTTGTTACTATTTGAAATTAATATAGTTATTTGGAGTGTATTTCACTTTGCATTTATAATAAACTAGCAATAAAGATATATAATCTATATAATTAAATATTTACAATATGTACATAATGTAAATATAGTATATATATAGTTTATATATATTTTTATGTTTACTGGAAAATGGAAAAACTGAAACACTATTATCTGATTTCAGAAAGTGATAGTGAAGCTCCTCTTACACCAGCAAGACAAACGAGAAGAACAAGAAAAAATTCATCATCTAGCATTGATCAACAAGGTAAATGAAGAAATTTTAGGGTGAAAACATTAATAATAAAATGCTTGCTGTGCCAGGCATTAAAATATATCAATATATATATTAATATTCCTAACACTAATGAATTTTGTGCCGATGGTGAACAATAATTCTAAATATGAAACCAATAAATATATAAATGGTAGAATAGAAGCAAATATCTCCTAACTAGTCATACAATTTATAATTAGAAAGTTAGAACATAGAAAAATCATGCCATAATCATTTAATTTTTCATGTTAGGGGCCATCCATATATTACATACATTAAGAGGCGTGTTTGTTGAACTTAGTCCAGTCTCTTTTCTCGTTATTATTTCGTATAGTCTCTTCTTCTTTATAAATATGTAAAATGTAGATTTATTAATGTTTTGCAGATGCAGTTTTACATAACAAAACATCCACCATTACGGAATCTATAGCTGAAGAGATAGAAGCAAATGACAACAATACAAAAACTTATACAGACACAGATAAAGAAAACTCAGTTCATTTAAGCCCTAAATCTAAAAGTATAGCTGGTGAAAATAATTACAATAACAATAATGATTCTGAAATAAAAGACTCATTAAATTCAGTTAATAAAAAAAATATGTGTAACAGTGAGCCCTTTGTTATGTTGAATCCTTTAATTTTACAATATGATAATGAGGGTACTGTAAATTTAGTTATCCAAAAAAGTTCAACAGAAAATTCAAAACTAAACATTGTTGATACATCTGTTAATACAACTTTTGACAATAATATTAATGTAATTGACGTAAACAAATCGACAGCACGAGATGAGGTCAATTATCAAGTGTCAAGTACTGCAGACAATAAAAAACATAGTGAAAAATTGAAACTGTCAGAGTCAGCTGCCAATCTGCTTAGTAAATTAGATCTTAAGCCGAAGAAAAAATCCACTATTAATAAAAGTGCTTCATATATTGAAGATACTAATAATATAAAAAGTAAAAGATGTAGAACCAAATCATGGACAAATGCATCTCAAGCATCCTTACCAAACAATCACCTTGACTTTTATAGTGACAATGAAATAGTAAAAGCAAATAAGAAAACTAAGAATACTAGTGAGGCACATGACATATTTAAAAAAACTGATTCTATTGGTAACTATATAAATAGAAATAAAGAAGAGTGTATTGTAAATAAAGCAGCAATCTTAACAGATAGATGTTCTATTACAATAGTACCACATGAAGTTGATACTATTGACAACAAACACAGTGACGAAAGAAATAGTAGTAATTTTCAAAGTGACCAAATTTCTGAAGTAGACTTATTAAGAAAAGCACCGGTTTCAGCCATACAATCCACTGTGTACTTTGAAGACTCTGATACAGAGAGTAAGAGAAAGTCCAAAAATAAAAACTTATCTGATAATGAAGATCAATGTGTTCCAGTGATAAATAACAATTTTGATATCAATAATTCTCTAAAAACATCTTGCATTGATACATTAGATCTAATAAATAAAAAGAAAAATTCTTCAATTGCTAAAATGGCTAACCAGAAATCTGGCGACAATTCTGGTTGTGAGCCCATGGATATTGATGAAAGTGTTCCAAATACATCGATAATCAATATATCTAATAACTCATTACAGATTTGTGTTAATGATAAAGATATTAATAAAAAAAGACATTCTTCCCAAGATGTTACAAATCTAAATAACAGTAATAATAATTTATCACATTCAAAATCACAAAATTTGGAAAAGACACAAAATGAAAATAAAAGTACTCTTATATTATCTCAGTTAAAGGATGAATCAACAACCGGAAATAATATGACAAAGTCTCCAGTGCATCGCGTCAATGGAATTAATAACATTGATGACGATGGTAAGAAAATTGACAAAAAGAATATCTCACATGATTATTCAACCAGTACTCCATTACAAGAGAAAACTTTAAGGAAAAGGGCCATGCAAATTAATACATCGGTTATAAATAAATCTAACACTGAATCCAAAGATGTTTTGCTGATTAATAAAGATAAAATCAAAAAGAAGACAAAGAAATATCAAAACCTCGATACTACTGCACAGGATAATTCAGATTCAGAAGAAGAATCGTATTCACACCAAGAATCAAATTCTGAGAGAAAATCAACAAGAAAAAAAACATCCTTTCTCGACGACGAACCTGAAGAAGCTAGTGACGATTATGAGTCAGGTGATAGCAGAGACGAAGACGAAAGACAGTACGAAAAAGAAAATGAAATTATAGATAAAGGAGAAACTTTGGATTCTGATGATGTAGTAACTGATGACACTGATTATGAAAAAGACTCTTTTGTCGTAAGTTCTGATGAAGAAGATAATGAATTATTGGATGGTTCTGGCGATGATCTTTCCATGAGTGATAATGAGCTTACGATGAGTAAGAAATCAAAGAATAAATATAATGAACGGAAAAATAAGGAACAAAAAAATGCTTCAAGAGAAATGTTTGAATCTCGTCATAATATATCAAAATCAGAAAGGTTAAATTCTAAAAAAGCGAACCGACAACGTTTAGACTCTTCCAGTATATATTCTGAAGAAGAATTGAAAGCTGCTTCAAAGAAACGTAAAAGATTGAGATTAAGTTCTACTCAAGAATTGGATACAGACGAATTGAACATTAAGAAGAATAATGGTTTAGCTGATTCTGTTTTAAATGTCAGTGCAAATAAGGAACCAGAAATATCGATGCATATTGAAACTGATCTGGAGAAAGGTGATCCTCTAGAAATGTCAATGCAAATGAAATTGGAGCCCAAAACACCTCAAAAGAATTTGGACATTACCACAGTCCCTATCATTGATGATGTTGAAGAAATAGAGATTAATGTCAATCTATCAATGGGCAATGTCACATATGAGTCATCTGATCCATTACAAAATGTAGAACTTGATGAAAATGATTCATTAAGTGAAGATGGAGAGATAATAGTTAACTATGATTCAATCTTAAAAGATCTAAATAATATAAAAGATCTCAAGATTAAAGTAAACAGGTCCTTAGATTCTAATAAAAATAACAATGAAAAATCTAATGACCCAATTATAGATCAACTTAATCTTACTCAGAATAAAAAATCTAAGAAAACTAATAAGCATTCATTATCAAATGGTAAAGAACTTCAAAATATTAAGGGTAATGAAAAGCCCAAAGAATTTGATAATGATGATTCATCTAACTCTATTGATCTAAAATTGTTATTTTCTGAAGATAGTATGGACACTGAAAATAATGCTACTGATAAGAACAGTGTAGTAACTAGTAATTCTAAGGAATATATTCCTTTAAAAAAATCTGAAGGAAAAACAAACATTCCAAATGGTAAATATTTACTAATTATGCTAACAGTACTATCTCATTTTTTAATAAATTGCTTTAGTTTTATGTATGTTTTTCAGATATTACTGTGATAAAAGAACATAATTTTTCATTCAGCAATGAAAAAACTAAAAACCGCAAGTCATTATCCAGCATGGAAGATTTCGGTGAGTGACTTAGTGCTATATAGTTTCACACAAAGTTTTCTGTAATAACTTATAAACATATTATGATACAATAATAAAATATGTTACAGCTTCTTCTGCTTAGATTGCAACTATTTGCAAAATATAAATCTGTAAATAGTAGAATTAGTGTCTATTGAAATGACAGTATGGGCAGCTTAGTGTGAAAAAGCAGTATGCACTGTAATATATAATAGCTGTAATTATTTGTATTTATGTTTTTCTTACTATTTTTTATTTGAATCTTTGAAATAGTGATTACATATATATTTTCAGTATCAAATATAATTATTATTGTTTATACTTTGCAGTACATAACCAAGAAGATGAACTGCTACCTGTATTTATTGATACAATTGGGGCTCGCGGTGATGATCTACCTGAAAATATGTCTCTTAATACCAGTAAGAAAAAGAAGAATAAAACAGAAAGGAATCTGTCAATGAATTGTGAACAAGGTATTTTTATAGAATTTATATATTTCAGTTAAATTTGTTATATGTAACTATAATGACAAAAAGAAACTGACAGCCTACCTAATGATGAGTGACATATGCCTCCTATATACATGAGAGTAGAATGGACATCACATCATCCTATGACACTTTGTATTACTCATGTCATGATCTCTCTATGGGAGTCCTCAAGTAATCCGAAATTTCATCATTCTATGTAATAATATTTTACTATTTTGTACATACCCCACTTACTTATATATTATCATTATTATAAATAAGTTCAAATTAATCATAGTCATAAGAGAGAATTATAAGGTTCCACTTATACTCTGTATTAATATATTCTTTAGTATATTGAACTATATTTTTATATAATTTCAGTAAATGAGACACTGTCTGATACATTTAATGACAGTGTCACAGACAAGGAACAAAGTACAAAGAAAAAAAAGAAGAAAAAGAGACATAATATATCAGTTAATACATCGCAGGTGGTGGCAGTAGAAGGTAATTTGTATTTTTATTCTAATTCAACATTCATATGTTATCTGTACAGATGCCACCTGTCAAAGTACACTGCTAGCCCCTTCCCTCCAATAACAATGCTAAATCTTAATTATATAGCAGTGTAATTCTAAAAGAAGTTTACTAACTCCATTAATAGTAGTTATTGAAGTAATGAACTTGGTTAACAATTAATTATATTATTAAAGCAATGTAAAATTTTCATATTATATCAACTGTTACTGTAATTTTAACAGATAACAAAATTAATGAAGAAGAGGACATGTCTGAATCAACTAGTGTAAGTGCAGCAAATAAATCGCTCAATGTGTCACTGGAGAATAGTGCAAAGAAAAAAAAGAAACATAATACATCTACTCGTGATACTTCCCAGCAATTACTAGAAAAAGGTATTATAAAACTAAACAACTTGGCGAACCACTACAACTATTAAACAAGATTTTGCGTTTTTATACTATAATATATATTAACTAAATTACAGTAATTTTAACAGATAACAAAATGGATGAAGAAGAGAACATGTCTGAATCAACTAATGTTAATGCAGCAAATAAATCACTCAATTTGTCACTTGGGGACAGTGCAAAGAACAAGAAGAACAAGAAACATAATACATCTAATCTAGATACCTCCCAGCAAGTAGCAGAAACAGGTATTTTACTAAACAATTTTGTAATTAACTATTACAGCTAATTTTGAAGTTTTGTTCTAAATAACCATAATTTTAACAGGTAAAAAATTACATGAGGAACAACACACGTCTACATCTAATGTAGCAAATAAATCACTGAATGTGTCACTGGAGGATAGTGCAAAGAAAAAAAAGAAAAAGAAACATAACACATCTACTCTTGATACTTCCCAACAAGTAGTAGAAAAAGGTATTTTACTGAACAATTTGGTAAACCACTACAACTGTTAAAGAAATTTTTTAAGATTTAATACTATAGTATATATTATCTAAATGAGAGTATTTTCAACAGATAGAGATGTACATGAAGAAGAGGACATGTCTGAAGCAACTAGTTTTAGTGCAGCAACTAATTCGCTCATTGTGTCACTGGAGAATAGTGCAAAGAAAAAGAAGAAAAATCAACATAATACATCTACTCTAGATACTTCCCTGCAAGTAGCAGAAAAAGGTATTATAAAACTAAAGTTTGCCACCATTGTAGTATAAAAAAAACTAAATTATTTAGTAAACCACTACAACTTTTGAAGCTATTTTCGAAGTGTTTATTAGTGTATCAAGTAAATTACTGTAATTTTGACAGATAACGACGTACATAAAAAAGAGGACATATCTGAAGGAACTAGTGTTACTGCAACAAATAAATCGCTCAATGTGTCACTGGAGGATAGTGCAAAGAAAAAAAAGAAAAATAAACATAATACTACTCTGGATACTCCTCAGCAAGTATCAGATAAAGGTATTATTAAATTTATTAAGTTGGACAACCACTACTACTATTAATTTTCAAATTTAAATGCTATTTACACCAATATATATAAACCAATTACTGTAATTTTAGCAGGTAAAAAAATAAATGAAGAACAGCACATGTCTACATCTAATGTAGCAAATAAATCACTGAATGTGTCACTGGAGGATAGTGCAGAGAAAAAGAAAAAAAAGAAACGTGATATATCTACTCTTGATATTTCCAAGCCATTAGTAGAAAAAGGTATGAACTATTTTATATCCTGTATAAAAATTATATCCGTTATTTAGTACTAAAAAATTATGAAACTTCCCCCATTGTCATGATTTCCCTATTTTAAACTTTTACATTGCTGGCCCACTACTTTTGGTCATGGTATGATTTTATGTAGCCTATAACCTTCCTCGATAAATGAACTATCAAAAACTAAAAGATTATTAAAAATCGGATCAGTAGTATCCCGATGATGCTAATATATAAACAGGAAAAGTTTATGATGAACGATAGATAAATCCAATGTTTAGGAAGGTAATAATAAATGCAATATTTTTAATCTTATTGCAGATGAGATTCTTGATGCTGGTTCCACTACAATTAGTAATATTCTCGAAACAAACACAAAGAAGAAAAATAAAAAGAAACAAAGTACATCATTCACTGGTTATATTACTTCAGAAAATGTAATACAAGGTACGAATTAATTATATATAAACTTTTATACCATACACATGAAAACATGTTCACACATTTACGAAGAGTAAAGGTACTTTGTGTGTGTATCTATGGTAAGGTATCTATCTGACTTAGAATTAATTAATCCATATTACCTACATGGTGATAAGTTTCATCAGTCTCTTATAAACATAAACAGCAGCACGGACGTCGTCATATACCGTGTGTTTCGGAGGATTAAAGTGCTATGCCTCAGTAGCCTGTATCCCGTCATTTCACTGCTTTATCTCTCCCCCTTTACCGTAATAAGCTTCTTGGCGTCAGAAATAGGTGAAACTGAAATACTCACACAGACGATTTTTTATGAGGTCTACCTCGGTAGAATGTGTAGTAATTATGAGATATATTAAAGTATACGCGCATATTAAGGCTTGAAAAATAGCTTCATATTCAATAGCGTCAACTAAGCTATTTTTCTTCAAATCCCCTCGATCAAAAGCCTCGGTAGTCTAGTAGTTTAGCACACCACTTTCCTTCGGATGGTGGCGGGTTCGATTCCTCGCTGGTCTGGGTATTATCTATGTATAATATGTATGTATTTAAAAAAATATATCAATTTGAGAATTAATTTTCAGATGCTACAGATGATGCTCCTCTTGAAGTACCTTTTGAAAGTCATAAAAAATCCGAAAGTGGTAAGTACACAGGTACTAAATCTTTTAATTATTATTATACGAGAATGAGATGTTGATTAGAATTTACTTACCTATGACTAGTTGTGTCCATGTGCCTGAGAAGACATATTTTTAACCGCTTTAAGTTAGAACGTTATTTGTAAGCATTAATTATGTATTTCATACATTTATATATCACATAGTATAGTATGGGAAAATAACATATAATTCTTTATAGATTTCTGTTTCATCAAGTGGTTTTTTTTTAATAGATAATCTTGTGATAGAGAGTATGTCTAATACTATGAATACCAAAAGCAATGACAAATCTTCAACTGAAGTTAACCTACATAATTCTCTGGGAAGTGGTAAAAAGAAGAGGAAGTCAAAGACAGACGCTAGCCCTAAAATGGCAGAAGGTAAATTAATTTCTTATATACAATTGTACCATGTAACTTAGTCTATTTTCCGCATTTAGTCTGTTAACTGCAGCATTGTGTGTGTAATCTTTACATTTTTATATATTGAGTTATTGAACTGCTTTAACATTGTTATTTAGTTTTACTCCATTATAATTTAAGATTTTAAAAAGATTATACCTATAATTAAACAAATATTTTTAATAAAATTGTAGTACATAATTTTTCATGTATATTATTTTATTTAAATGTTACAGATATATTGACACATAGTGTGAGCACTGACGAAGTACAAAGTGGAAAGAAACGCAAACGAAATGTATCTCCTTCTACGAATACTGAGGAAAATTTGAAAGGTAGGGGTAAGATAAGCACATAATTTTAACCATCTTTATCCCTTGTCTGTTACGAGGTAGGCAGACAGGACAGACCACCTATAACCATTTTTAGTAGAATAAATTATCGTAATAACACAAACATAATATACGAAGCTGCTGACATAGAGGCATATTGCTATGCATGACAGTTTTCGGGTTCCAAATTAAAATTTCAGACAGACAAGTTGTTTCATAAAAAAACTAAGTTTTGAAAATTTCCACTCCAGATATTGTAGAAGTTTGTAACAGTTTCTTGTCTGGTTTTTTATGACAGAGAACTGAAGACAAGAAAAGCAGTTTTGTGTTACTTGTGTTGTGTTTACATATTGTTTCAAATATAATAGCATATTATGTTATGCACAGGTGGCCCAAAAAGATCTGAAGTATCTAATGAATTATTATCAAATAGTAAAAATAAGAAACGCAAGTTAGCTCATCTAGAAGACATTAATGAAGAAAAAGGTAAATAAAGTCGCATTATTAACATTTTTTTATTTACGTCGTACTAATATTAAGAGATACGTGATAGTCCAGTTGTTGTTTGTTCGGATTAATTTTTTCTACATTTTCATGCAAAAATACAGATTTCCGTTTTTTTTTCAGACACAAACCCGAAAAAAGTTAATAAAAAACGTAAGGAAAGGGATGGTGATGAAGAAAGTAAATCATCAAAGGTAAATAAGACTTTATTAGAAGATTTTTCATGATAGTAATATAATAAGAAAGCAATTGCGTACATAATGTTCAATGTATATGTAGAAAATATACTATATAGTTTAGCCAGATAAAATAACAGTAGTGACCCATTACTACTGGTTTTTTATCTGGACTAAGACTGCACCCATGCAATGATATAACTTTTGTTTGAATTTTCAGATATTCAAGAAAAACTCATCTGATAAAGTTAGTGTACCACGTTTGCCTTCAGCTATTCTCAATCAAATAGACGCCAAGCCAAAACAAGAGATACTGGATATGAAAAAATCGAAAATTACATCAACAACACAATTTCAAGTACAGGAAATAATTAAAAGGAAAAATAAACCTTCCAACTTTTTAGAGGAGAGTGTGTACCTAAATCATACAAAAGAAAACAAGAAACAAAAGAGAAAGATGAAAATTCCTAAAGTTCTTCCTTTTATACCCTCAGCTTCAACATCAGGCAATGGCTTTACTACTAACTTTCAAATCAATGTTATACCAAAAGAAACTAAATTTATAGCTGAAACTGCAAATATTAAGAGTTTTAAGAATGAATATTTGTACGGTAAAAAAATTAAACGATTAGGTACATATGAAATGTATAAGAAACAAAGAAATGTAAAGATGTCCAAATTTTAATTTGCTTATTTTGCATATTGTATAACTTTCCATCATGAATTCCGCCTTTACCTTCTTTATTTCAGTGGTATCACTAATGTTAAAACATCAGTATGTAACTATTTTAAGTGTCGTGACTGTTAGTGCCAAGTTAATATTTTAAGTTTTCTTATTCTTAAATTTACTTCGCAATTGTGAAAATTTTCTACTAGATACCTAGTTATATAGGCTGTAACTGAATTGGTTATTCATGAATTACATACTTTTTCCAAAGAAACATAGGTAAATAAATTTCGTATAAACAACGCGGGCATTTCCATGGTCATCTCACTACATCTATTCACAAAATAATTCTATATAGGTATACCCCACCCATGTCTCTTAAGAAAAAAACTTAAATGTAATCGATTTTGAGAACTTCCACATTATTCCGATTATAATCTATCTGTTTGTAATTTTATATCAAGCCTTATAGTTGCAGAATTGTAGATATTAAGCCGATCAATTGGTATAGATTGCATATTTAATCTCGGGATTCCTATCTTTTTGTAAGTAATAAATAGTTATTTTTTTTTATAAATAAAGTTTTTCAGCAGGCTGAAGAAATCAATTGTAAATGTCAGTTACATAGGACTATTAATTATGTGTACGAGAAAGGAGATAAATCTAAGAATTTGAGTTTCTGACTGTTAACATAATTTATTAACTTATTTGTAGAATGTCACTGCATGTTAAAGATGTCATGACATTTTGGTTTAATTTGTTGTATGAAAGTGTTTTTATTATTATTTTTCCTTAGTATTACGATTATTTTTATTTAACAATGTCTCGAAGCTGCCTAAATAAAGAGCAAGTAACAACCGTTAATCTAAGTGTTCGCTAAATATATGTACGATTTAGGTTGTATGATAACTGGAAGCAACAAAATCTAAAACAAATGTTGCGTATTTATAAACTGTAAGAGTTTTGATATTACTTATTTAGTTTTGTTCATTCACCTTTAATTAACAAAATCAAAATAACATATTGAAGTCACATTCTCAATCCCATGCTGTGATGTTGTCCATACACAGTCCTAAATTTACAATTCAAATATACCTACAGTAGAAGTTAATTTTCCAGTATTTGTTGCAAAAGAATTAACTATTCTCTTGTAATTATTGTAATTAAACGACCATATTACTATTGCCTCATAATATTTATGTTCTTAAACCAACAAAATGACTGTCGTTACTATTATCACACAGCATTTACCATTTTATTTGTCACTATTAAGAAAATTACTAAAGTAGTATATTCATATAAATATATTTAGTACTGAAACTTTACTTAGAAGCATCATACTGTATCCAAAATACTCTTTCCGTTATTATCCTATTTAAAATAACTTAATTATAATCAATAATCATTATTTTATCCTGACTAAAACTTGTTATTTGCTGTAGTTTTGTATATGTTTAAGTTATTTAGGATTTTATACGTTTCAAATTTCCCGCTTAGGATCGATAAGTCACTATGATGTCTACCAGTTGTCGCCACTGTCGTTAAAAAAGTGGTATTACCCATGTGCCTTTTATTTAGTTTGTTATCGATTGAAAATTTGATTATTTTAATATATAATTCAATAAACATGATCCTTGAATGAATTTCATTATTTGTATGTATTCACATTGATATTTATGAGTACATACACGACAAAAACACTTCCCGCCTTATCATGCCGGTGTAAACAAACCGCCATGTTGTACATGATCAGAACAAACTGCATAGCCTAAAGATTTTGTGTAAGTACTTTTATTACGATATTTAAATATATACATTATTGATAAATGTGGTAAGTATTTATGAAACTAATAATTAAAACATTTCAACTACATTTTTACTTCCCAGAATAATAATACATGCAATTGATTCTATGACGTCAATCCCTATTGGAGTTCAGACCAATCATAGCGAAGTAGTGTTGATCACGTGGACAGAAGCCTCCAATAGTAAAAGAGACCATTCTTGTGTACCTTTTCACATAATAGTAAAACAGATTGTGGTTTTTATGGAGTGAGTGGTATTATATCTGTCAATCTAATGACGTTAAAAAGCGTAAATGTGTGAAATTCAGGATTATTCTGTTGAGCAAAAGGATATTTATATGAATAAATATTCGGTAAGTGAATTTTCTATCCCGTAATTAGTTGTTTTTTGTTAGGTGTTGTGAAAACAAGGTTTGTTCAGTGGGAAAGTCCAATGAATGAACGTGTCCCGCTCTTTTTAACGTCATGTAAAACGATTTGCTCGTGTTTTCTCTTATTTATCTCATTTAATTAATGTGATTACAATTATTCCTAGGCTAAATGTATTAATTAACAGAAATCATCATTTTTAGAAGTGGCGGGAAATTGCTGTCCATGCAATTGGAATGCACTACCTATTCATTAAGTAATTGATTTCATTTCGTACACAGAGACTGTAAATTAGCATTTAAATATCTAACAATTCTAATTGTAAGCAATTAACAAATATGGTAAGCAAACTCGTAGTAATAACACGCGGCAAATGATATTTATATTATCAGTCAATATAAATAACGGACATTCATCTCATTCTATATACTCTGTCCCTTTCTCTCTTCCGTACCTGTCTATAGTAGGTATACAACACAAGACGAAAATAATCTTTTTACTGTTTCTCTTTTTCTTGATGATTCATAAAGATTTGTTATATAAGTAACTACTTATTAATTTTCTTTATTATTATTTAAAGTTCTAAACGCCGTTATTTAATAATAATAGTTAACTACGTACTTAGCTGCATTGGTACCTACTACGTACGACTTTATCCACGTAAAATGGCGCCAATTCGCCGTCAATGAACTTCAAACGGTTGTAAAGTGTGATTGTATCCACAACACAACCACACCACATACAATATCTATTCGTGTAGATACTTCCTAAGTTGTTACTAATTAATATAAGAATAAGTTGGAACCCATTATGTATACTTAGTATATGTTCTGTTAAAGTTTTTAAACATAAAATCATCAAAGATAAATAAATCTACAATGTTTTAAATCTTTGCCCCATGCAAATCAGTAATACCATCATCTTGATCATTTCACCTGATCCATTGTCTACTTCTGTACTTAACCAATATTATATATACATCCATCATGATCTGAACATTTTTGAGTCGGATTCTTCATGTGGCGAGTCCAGAACATTTTGAGAGTTTCTACTTGAGAATCTCGCCCATCGTCTATTCGATTACAGTTATTCATAAAAGTGCCATTACTTGTATTTATATAATTTGCATATCTAACTTCTTTGAGATACTGATTCAAGAATCTTTTACAAAAATATTAAAAGCACCATCTAAGTGTACATGTAATAATAATGTCTCCTATTTTGTAATTTACGATACAGTCTATATCTGTATCAACTTACATACAAATCAGTCCAGCCGTTTGAAAGATTTTATGATGACTTGCCTATTAATATTTTCTTACTTACTCGATTATAAATACAACAGGTATACCTAAAGCTACCTGCCTACAATTCCCACGGTTCGTTTCTAATGAGAATTTCAAAACGCTGAACAATGAGTGCACCGTTTGTTTGTGTGCGTTTGTCGGCACGAAGTATACGTATAGTTGCACTTGCACTACCATGCTCCCTGCTGCTTCCACTACTGCTACGTGAACAATATTAAGCAGGTCAATATCTTATGTTAACAAAAGAAAAGAACGTGCCTTCGTAACGATTTACGGAATAAGAGAGGGAATGTGGATGTCTCTTTATTAATTACTGTGTCAGCGATTTTACCCGCCTGTGTTATTCTGATGTATATTCTTTATTATTGTAAAGTATAAAAAAAAGCATTCCGTAGTTTTTTGCGTGACAGAGTAACAACCATCGATCCATCTATCCACACTCACAACTTTCCGCATTTATAATATTAGTAAAATGACATGAATACAGAAATAAAATTACTTTTGGTAATCAAAAACAGTATCACAAATAAGAATTTTTAATTAAACTTATTACTAGGAAACCTGAATGATAATGGACTTCCCTTTTGCCTGCTTATAAAGGTTAGTAAATTTATAGAAAGGACATTTAAATTGTAAGAAACCAAATTATTAACTTGCTTATTTCGTTAAGTTATTATTCTTAAGGTATGTTTACTTGGGAATAAACATTAAGGTAATATAAACAATAACATGGCCTGAAATATGAACCCTACATGGAATATAAAAACACGCAATGTGATTGCAAGTTTGTTGAGTGTGAGACCTGAATACTTTTAACAATTCACAATAATTTTACATCATCAAATTATATTATAAAAATAGCAAACAAATCAATATATAAATTACCTTTAAATATTGTATTGAAACAATTGTTGAAGCTCTAACCCATCAGAGCAACCATATATAGTTATTATTCTCAGTGTTAAGTCTCTCAGCGAAAGATGTGTCTATGAATTGTATTTATAGGCATATTTTATTAATGCTATATACGATGTAGCTTAAAAAATAAGTTACAAGTGTACAGACCACAGGAAATACTCCAAAAATAGAAAAAGTTAATTTACCAAGATAAACTTTGTAAAAAGTGGTAGCTTAGTGTAACCTACATACTTCAGTCACCAAACAGCTTGCTTTCTAAGGCGTGTTTATGTTAAAGGAAGAGATATTACAGAATAAGAGGCATGACATCTTGGTCCTTCGGAATAGCAACGTATGATCGTTATCACTGGAGTTAAGCAAAAACGTGATGTCCGTAGTGCTGTTTATGTATGCTACGGTTATCACTACTTATCACTTACTAATAGGTGGGCTGTCAGCTTGTTTGTCATTAAAAAATGCCGATTGCGATCAGTTACTACACAAGGAAACACTTTCGAGCAATTAAACTATATGAAACGACAATTTCATATGTAATGTAGGGATTAAATCGCAGCAGGTGTGTATGCAAGAGAACTATGTTCAGCTGTTGACTTTGGAAGGCTGTTATTATTATATGTAATTGTAAAAGACACACGAAGAACTCAAAGACACAAAAAATATTTACCTACTAACACCATATACCGCTCCTTTACCTGAGTCAAAATTATGATAAGAGTTATCGCAAGATTTAGTCCATCCCGTCTTCTGTATTCTGAACAACATTAAAATACATCCTGCCGATAAATATATTTGAACAGTTTTTCCGATATCATAGTATATCCTACTATTGATCAAGCATTATTATTGTAATATTTTGTATCGAATTTTACTATTATTCTCTGTATTTTACATTTCCATAGTAATTATGTCTATTAAATCCTCAATTGTGCTATAATATTATGGAACACATAATAACATTTATAAATGTAACATACGATCGGCGACTTCAGTAATAGAATGTGCTATTCGTTGTATTAATGTTTAACAAACAAAACATTTTATTGAAACCACCTACCATAGAAGACCATAATATCATTAACACTTCATCTTAATTGTGGGATACAGCCAGTAATATTTAATTTTTGGCTCATGGTCTTAATTCAAGTCGGATTTTAATATACTACCATATAGAAACCAAAATTCAAATTAGACAACAGGTAGGTTTGCCTACTTGTTGATTTACAAGGTATATTTTATGGGTGAAAATTGAAAAAGCTTGTCACGGCTTTACATTATGATGTAAATAATAACCAGTAAGTTCGAGTCGAATTCTCAGAGGTTCCGAACAAAATAAGTAAACGTTTTCTTTAGATTAGGTATTTTTATATTATTAGATTTTCGGTAATCCGTACTGCTCTGTAAATTTTTAGTCAATTTTATCATGTAAAACTACCTGCTTATGGCGATTACTTGTATGGTATATATGGAATTTTTAAAAAATAAAACTCTGTACTAATTATATCTTATCATTGGTGTTACTGAAAAGTTGTTAATGAAGGCATAGATATGTAAACGAGAAAAATACAATGACATTTTTCATAACCATGGTTACCAATACCAGTACCAATGAGAACCGTCAAAAACCCTCCACAAATAAATTCCGATCTCAAAATCACATTTCGTGTAATGAATATTAGACTAATACAGTACCAATCTATCTATAGAAATGATCGGAGATGAGTAATTATCATATAAAGAAAATAATAAACTGTTAAATTATGTGTTTACTCGTACTTGGAATTTTCAGTGTTTAAGTCAGTAACATCTTTAATAGTTTAATACAATGTACTTAGTATGTCACTTATCTCGAAGCGTATTTAGATTGTTTCGAGTATAAGAAAGCTTATTTTTTTTTAATAACTTTACATTATAAAGAGCCATTAAAAAACTCGTAAAGGATGTTTCCTAGATATTCCAATACCTATCAGAACACGACAAAACTCCACCAAAATATTTCAGTTTCCCCTCCCCACATTCAAAACAGGGAAGTAAAGGGACGAGGGGAGCTACACGCGCTTGCAATCAATACGGAACCCCTCTGATGTACCTTCATGGCAATATTGCGCGCGCATTTGGGAAACAGTCGGCGCGTAATTTTCCCGCCAAAAGTACCTACCAACTTTTTAATTTTATTTAGTTTCCTGATGAAAAATTAGTGACCACCTGTCTATTGTTACTTCATAGACATTTCTTACGTCAATACTACAGATATTTTATATACTGATTTTCGTGACCTATCACTATAATCATAAAAAAAATCGAAATTGTTTAAATATAGTGTTAATTACAAATTAAAAAATAATCATAAAAATGAGAGTTAGTAAATCTATAAAAAAAACTTCTTTAAGTGTTTATATTTTAATTAAAGATAACTATTGGGATTGTGTTTGAAAAGTATATACGTGTCCATAATTCTAGATATAGATATTGTACTAATGCTTCCCCCGACTTCGTCAGCTTGTGCACCCAGGCCACCACCCACTATTGATAGTCCAACGACAAAAAATAAAGCACTTATGCAACGCCATCTAGTATTTTATTCAAAAATTATTTAACAGTAATATATGACCTATTTGATTTTGCTAATTTACCCCTTTGGGTTGTATTTTTATAAGATTTCTTTAGTTTATATACTTACCCGACTTAACAACATATTCTGTGTTTAATATCGATTCCCCATCCTTTCTTACGTGAGACCTTAACAGACAAATAGACAGTTTTCACCTCGTTAGGATTTGACAATTTTATATATATTATTATATGTAAAAAAATAAAGAAAAAACAATGTCAAATTCACAAGTCTTGAAATAAAAACATGGCAATTTATGCAGGTTCCAATCGACACCCGACACATTTATCTTCAAAACCCAATCACTAAAGTCAACTTAAAAATAAAAATTATTCTTCTATGTAGGTATTTACTTCACCTTACCTTTTATATTTTGATAACTAAAATTAAGCTGATCTACTCGCGAGTATAATTTCAATCAAATCCAGATTAATACCACACTGTTCTTTTAAAAGCACTTTATTCGACTTATTTGGTTTACTCTGAATGAGTAAACAGAATAAGTCGATTAGTTTATTCAAATATCTTTTTTATACACCAATGAAAATATTTATTGCCTTGAATACATTTTATTCTATGCTTGTTTGAGATTTATCCAGTTCTCTTTTCAAGTTTCTGGAGGCAGGTAGAGACTTATAGGATGGATTCCGGTATAATAACGGATTAAGAATGTAAGTCGTCACTGATATCTATGGTTTCCTAAAAGGTATGTCATAACAAGGGTATAATGAAAGAGTTCAGATACACCTGTTGAGCGAAGAAAATTCTAAATTAAACCGTATAGGTACCTAGCTGCGGCGAGTTTGGTATTAGTGCCTACGCTAAATCTTCGTCATGTTTGTGAAACACTTCCACAGCAATAGTAGTTCCATTATGTATTACTTATATAGGATATAGAATATATATTGTTGTCATATTGATGATGCAATACAGTACTTTAGGTCTTGTAAGTTATAATAAGTCTACCTAGATCCATAATATTTCTAGCCGTTTATATTATGCAGGCTCAAGACAAAATTCTTGAGATACACCATATGGCAACCTGCTACTATTTCAAACTCATTGCCATTTTTCCGAGTCGTCGATTTTTCGCGGCATACGCATACGACGACCGTCAGCGGCGCGAGAGCCGACCGAGTTCAAGGCGAACGCGCGCGGTCAGGTTCGAGGACATCGTCGGGCCCCTCGCAGTGCCTCTGCATCTTCCCCCCCCCTTACCCCCTACCCCCTTCGCCACTCTACTTAAAGTCATAGGTACTGAAATATCAAAAACCAAAAAAAGGAATATTTTGATACAAAAAAGTTATAATCGATGTTTTACTAAACTCGACATGTTCTTTGCTCTATTTTGTTTGACTTTTTGCATACAAACCGTCTCTTTGACAACGACTTATACAATTTAACGTATTCTTACAAAACTAATTCTAGACATTTGAATTTTATATCTACATGTTGTAAAAAATATATATTAAGATCCATTTGTTCCTCATATTGCACGTAAGCAAGATGAACTCTAAATAATGAAAACAGAGTTCATGGCCCTCTGTAATACACCTACAACGCAACGTCTACGAGACGAATTATTAATACCTATAGTTTTTAACCTGTTCAATACGAGTAACTAGTTAACTACATACATGAATGACAAGATTTATATATTTATATTTACTATCATGTGACCTTGCATACAAAATGACATTAATGTATAATAAAATTAATTTATAATTTTTTTTAAATATAGATGTACTAATTTTAAATTAATTCTTTAGAACATAGTTTAAAAATCTAAGAGTGATTTCATATCTGTAGGCGACAGTCGCCAATGTTAGTAACAGTTGTACTGTCATAGACAAATGACTGTTTAAAACTGATGCAGTGTATTTGTATTCGTATTGTAAATTATATTTTATATAATTTACGTAATCCAGCTCACATCACAATATAATAAAAAAAATTACAAGTTTATTCTTTTTTAAATTGCGACTTTACCTATATACTATATAATCTAGCGATTTTTAAAATTAAATACTATTTCTATTTACTATTACTATCTATTTCATAATATAAACAAAATTATTGATAAATAAACAAACTAATGACTTCTGTTTCTTAATAATGTAATGCAAATATAAACAAAATTATTGATAAATAAACAAACTAAATTCTATTTTTAGGTAGACACAATAACCACCTGCTTTTATTCGAAAGTTGTAAAACAATCAAAATTAATGTGAAGTTATTTATTTATTAGGAAGTAAGTAATTGTAAAATGTCGCGCAAGCTTTATAATTTCGAATGAAAACCTAGTCAGTTTGCCGTTGTAGGGTGCGATGGCAGTGTAGCGGCTGCCATGTCATTAGGGTCGGATCCACCCTCTTTCGATCTTATACATCTATCTCTTTCTGCCACCCTAACTAATACTCTCTCTTTCCCCCTTGTAACATTTCTGAAGTTATTGGCGGGAAGTTTTAAAAACGTAAACAAGTTCACTTTTCTCTTTATTGTTTTATGTAGTATGTGAGGTTTATATACTATACACAAAAACAAAGTATAATGTAATACAATATAATTATATAATAATCTATTACTTACATAACAAAATAATATAACGTAAACAAAAATGCGGTAACAAATACTTAAATGATTATTAGTTTCCATAAATTGAAGTTGAATGCTTATATATTTTAATAATATTTATTTTAGAATTTTTCCCCAAATAAAATTATACTCACTAAAATAGTTTATTATCTGTTCTTCTTATCCGATCGGAAGAACATCAAGGCTAAGTTTGTGTCCATTAATGTAAAAACGTATCAAGTACTTATGGGCTTATGGCATAGAACGAGTTTATTTATAGGGCCGCCGAGTAAAAGCTCCCACAAAAAATATCCCGTCTCGTCCCGAATCTTGGAAGCCTTGGACTTGTTCCGTTCATTGGTACAGTTTTTATACTTACACGACCTCACTACGAATGTTCCGTCCTACTACATATAACCCGGACGCGTGACCCTATCCAAGAGACATAGTGTTATGACTGGTATAGGTCTTTATGACATTAAAGTACACAAGGAAAATATTTGGAAATAATTCCCATAAACAATAAATAATACTCAAAATGTTATGAGTGATTACATTAGTAAATCTTAAAATAGGGTTAATATTAATTAAAATATTTCACATGTTGTATAATGGTACCATTTTATTTTAAATAATATATTATCTTTTTATGTTGTTTAAGTATGAGTTAAAGGATTCAATGTTGTATATTATTGAACACAAAGTGCCTCGCTTACGTGCAGTATACTCGTGCGGCCCTAGGGTAGCGCATACCACAAAGCAAAAACAGGTTTCCGTCGAAGTTGTTTCAATGGACTGCGCCACTGTCCCGTTCCGTCTGCCTGCTTGCCTGTATTTTATAGAATTGGCGCGAAACTACACGGACTATTGTAATAAGAAAGTAAACAATAGGCTGATAATAACCGTATTTTATGCCTAATTATTATTAGCATATACATATGTATAGCAATCAATGTGTTTTCACATTAGTATGAAAAACATAATTTATATATTTTTTATTGAATTTTGTCGCATATTAAAATATAATTACACACGTACAACTTAACTAATTTGGTTTTAAAACGTCTACAAATGATCTCTCATATTTGTGTACGTATATGTATTTTACTACCACGTAATACTTATTTCCTCTTATCATAATAATTTAGTTAAAAATACTTTTTAATTAATTGGGGTTTTTCTTTTCTAGGTGTGCTCAGACATGGATTTGTATATTACTGACTCACTCCAGGACATGCTGGATATGGATATAAAAAATGAAATAGCAACAGACCTTAGTAGTATTACAGATTTTTCAGTTAGTATTTCTACAATTTTACATTATTTATCTAATATATAATTCAAATTATAAGAAATTAAATTCATGGCGTTCTAATCTCTATTTCAGGATTCATTAGGTCTTAATTTTGCTGATATGTCACCGTTATTAGACATGGAAACAGATACTTCATCAACATGGCTAAACCACACTACTAGTTTTGTACATAATCTAGATTTATATGGGTCAGAGGCAAATGCCGTTATGGTTAACCCAAACTCTGTTATGCCATCAACATTTGCTGAAACACCAGTAAAGAATATTGTAAAAGAGGAGGCCTCAAATTTACTACTAACTTCAGCAGCAGCAAACACAGATCTAGATAGTAGTACATCACTACCAAGCCCCAAGGAAGAGAAGAGTCATCTAACATTTTCACCCAATACCATCAAAGTTTCAAAGCCCAAAGAAACTGAAGAACCCGCACCAAAAAAATTAGAAGAAGCAACTCAAATGGTTATTTATGTCCGAAAACAAGAAAAGAATGTGGTTAAAGATTTAGTTAAGGACTTGGATAAGTCTAAAGTAAACAATGGCACACCAACAGTGAGAATAAAAACATCGCAAGCAGAAATCCTCAAAGTAAATAATAAAAGTTGTTCTATATTAAATACAAACCAAAAAATAACACAACAAATTGGCACTAAAACAATTATTTCGGGCAATATACATATATTGGATGCTAAACAATCTAGAACAATTTTAAGTAATGGTAACAAAAACCAGGCAACAATATTGATTGATAACTCTTCATTAAATAGTAATAGGCAAATATTTAAAACTTCAGTTAGTGGAGCTTTTACAGTAGATACGAACCAAGCTAAATATGTAAACACTAGTAATAAAGGTACAGTCAGTGAATTTCCCAAACCAGCATATTCATATTCATGTTTAATAGCTATGGCTCTAAAGAACTCAAGAACCGGAAGTCTGCCCGTTTCAGAGATTTACAATTTTATGTGGTAAGTGTCAACACTAAATCCAATGATATACTTTTTTAATGTATAGTTTCGTGGCGATTCTAATGTAGATTAAAATATTTCAGTCAACATTTCCCATATTTTAAAACTGCACCAAATGGATGGAAGAACTCTGTTCGACATAATCTTAGTTTAAATAAATGTTTTGAAAAAATTGAAAAGCCATCAACAAATGGAAGTCAAAGGAAAGGTATGGAACATTTTATTTTCATATATTTGAAATTTCAACGTAATATATATCGATATAAATATACAAAACCTTTTTCACGTTGCAGGATGTTTATGGGCTATGAACCCATCAAAAGTAGGAAAAATGGATGAAGAAGTTCAAAAGTGGTCACGAAAAGATCCACAAGCAATAAAAAAGGCGATGGTTTATCCAGGTATAGTTGAAAAATTGAAATACCTTAACAAATTTTTTTAAAGATATCAATAGATCACTGAGAAAACAAATTTGGACAATACTACTTTTATTCTTAAAGGTCTTTTAACTTTTATTCTTTTATATTTTCTTAAAGGATTCTCAATGGTTTGAACTTCTATTCTGACGACTTCCATTATGACAATTGCCTGATTTGACTAATCAATTACATTATTTACTTTTGCAATAGAATGTAAATGACTATTAATTTTGGAAAATTAGTGATAAAAAAACAATAATACTACTATTTCATCATATACACTAGTTAGTTCATTTTGAACTTATGATATTTAGAAAGTAGAGATACTTTTTTATCTTTGAGGAGTTTAAAATTCCATTAAAAAAACAATAAGTGATAAATGCTAACATTTTTTACAGAAAGCTTAGAAGCATTAGAAAGGGGAGAGATGAAGTACAGTGGAGTAGGCGGTGACACAGATGCTGATGACGACGCAGACGGAGATGCAGATACGGAACTAGATGCAGATGTAGAATTAGACCCCGAAATCAAAGAGGAAGTTGAAGAAGAAGAGGCTATTATTGAACAGGTACAATTACATGGTTTGCTATGAGCTTATATCCCTTTCAGACTAATCTACCACCTGCTACTTTTGGAACTCTGTCTTATTGTTGATAGCATGCATAAAAATTTAATGCACTCAGTTTTTTAATATTTTAACTATTATATCTCACACCCATATTAATCAGAACTGAAAACACCTAGCCCAATATATACAATTCTGCTCATAAATGTTTGCATCGTCCGAGAAATCGAATCCGCGATCCTGGGAAGTAAGGTGTACTAAATTGCTAGAGCACCGAGATCGTAATATATATAGTTAATTAGTCTGTTGGTATTCTAAAAGAATAATTGGTAACTTAGTAAAATCTCTTCCATACAATTTTTTTTGCAAGTAATTTCAAAAAGTTCGTATCGTCACTATTTTAGGAAATGTCTGACCAAGAATTGGAAGTGGAAGAAGTGGTAGAGGGTACGGGCATGGTTGGCGGTACCTACCGGCTCCTAGCAACAGGACCATCCTCACTCACATCCTATATAACCGACGTGGAATCTGGTGAAGATGTTAGTGACGTAGAGGTAAGTAAAATGCTCATAGTTGCGGTGGGAATAACCATGTCGGAGCCCCTAGGCCATGTAATGCAATGGCTCTTAGCCCGTAACCTACTCTGCATAAATCTAGTTAATCTGGTCCTAATAACAGTGTATGTGAAACTTTTTGATGTGAATGATACTACTAATGAGGGTGCCAATACGATATAATAGTATACATATATAGTTCGTAGCAAACATATTGACCTTTATATTAATATTGTATTAATATATTCACTGTAATAATATCCAGATAACCTCATGTAAAAAACTTGTGTCCATTTTTTAAATTAATTTTTATATAACTATGTTCAAATGTTGTTGAAAGTTTAATGAATGAACTTGCTTGTTTTGTTCTTTTGCGGTAATTGTTAAGACTTCGTACAGAAGTCTCCTTCAGGGTGACGGGTGACGCACTGTTCACTGTTCAGAAATCAGTGGAACAGTTGAAGGAAAAAAACATAGTTCTTATCTAAATTGATACACAATTCCTCTATTTTAAAATTTTATTACTAACTGGTTGATTGGTTACAGGTGTTGGACCAATCGTATGAAGAAATTGACATCGACATTGCTAAACCTGTAAAGTTGGATTTATCTTTAACGGAAGATTACACAAGTAAGTTATATCTGCATTTTAATATAAAATCTCCTATATATGTAAACAACACTACGGACATCACATTAACGTGTAATGTTAGCGATAGCACTTATGTGGTGCTATTCCGAAGGACTAAGATGTCTCTTATCCTGTAGTGTATCTGCCTTATCTCATTCTTCAACCGAAACACAGTTTACAAAGCATACTGCAACTTTGATATCTACCCTGACGACTTTACAAAATCCACCTCAGTAGAATAACATTAATTTATAATGGGTTGCTCTAGTTATGTCTATATGGATATAATAAAACAAAAATTCACTGTTTTCTTACTCTATTGACACGCAGTTATATGTATCACTAAATATTTGTTAAATACATCGATTATTTATTTACTTGGGATGTTGTGTGTTAGTGTAATACGTAAAATGTGATATTTTAAATTTCCATCATGAGTTGCATCTCAATATCTATTTGCATTTTAACTGAATAATAAATGTAGTTCAGTGTTGTATTGATTGTAATTTATACGCATTGGTAGCGGAAATTACTCAATAACAAAACATTTATATACTATTTCATATATAGTCGGTATATAGACAAAATCTTTTTATTCTACTAAAATTATTTTTTTAATTGTGGTTTTTGATTATATTATTTCTTCACTACTACACTCCTTTTGGTAATATTGACTACTGTCTGTATCCCGCGGAACTAGGACATGATTATCTGTCCACCACATTTTATTAGAATTGGTCCAGTAGTATTTGCGTGAAAGAGTAACAAATATACAATAAACGGGTATAAGTAGAGCAATGTTATAGCCTAGAATTGCTTGGGTGCATACTTTGAAAATGTAATAATTATTTTTAAATTTGCAGTGCATTCAGCCAAACGAGCAAAAACAAGCTTCATATACCAGCCTGTTACCACACAGTCGCACACGAGCAGACGAAAAACCCCTCTGGTGAACAGAGTTGCATTGATATAATAATTAGAATGGGTAAATCATATTAAATTTGGATTCATGAAAATGTGATGATAATGTAAATGGGGTCAATGGTATGACATGCCTCCAACAAATGTTCCATTACTATTAGATTAATGACGAATATTGCAATGTCTAGTAATTAGCTGTGAATTGTGTAAAGTTTTGTGTTTATTGAGTGCAAACGTGATAGTCTGTACCAGATAAGTGTATTTACCTACATTTTTTTATACAAGCGTGGCACACTTGTTACATATCTTCACTGTAAAGTAGCCTGTATTTTTATGTGGCGTCCGGCACGGTCCGGTTCTAATAAACAAAAATCGTATTGACATTATTGTGTAGGATTTACTTAGAATGTAATTGTATGTCCTATTATTTACCGTTTAATGTGTTTAGTTGATTGTTTGATTCTGTAGTTATAATATGCACATACAAAACAGTACAAAGATATTTTGCTGCCGAAACGTGACTTCAGTGCTTATATACTTAAATAATATCGAACATGTATCATACGTAATGTATAATTATAAGATAATTCAATCTCAAGACCCGTACAAGTACTATAAATAGCGGGTATGTAATTAAAGATCCCACCGCTTAATTACCTATGTAAATATTTATACATATATATATATGTTATAATTTTTCATACTTATAATTCAAAATTATAATTTTTTTTGTATACGTTGTATTTATAATTTATAATGAATTTCAGTTAATATTAAGTCGTTTTTTTTATTGAACAAATCACATCAACTTTCAATGTATTAGTTTATTCTAATTTCAACACAGTTCAGTGAATCTCTATGAGTAAGAACTGTTAAAGCCGCTTAGGCACGATAAAAGTATACATAATTAGTCTAAGTCTCCTCTTTATACTAGTGTATGATGTGAAATGGCCAGCATATCCAGACGTATGCACCATACAAATATTTGAAACACGAGACCTTTGAAAATTCAATACTGATTTCCTTTAAAATAAATAAACAACCATGGACAAGAATTTTTACGTCTCCTATTTTACGTTTTACATACTCCAAATTATGATATACTCTCCTATAACATACTTTGGATACATGCATAAACGTTCATCCTTATTCTGTTGCATTTGGTTTACTGTACTAATGGTATCTTTAGCGGCTTTAATAGATGGATAAATAATAGAAAAATTAAATATACACTAGCCAAATATGTTTAAATGGAAAACATCTAGGAAATACAAAATATTAAGAAAATTACAAATCAAACATTAGTATTAAGAAAAAATGTACGGACACCAGTACCAAAATATTTGTGATTATTATATTTCACTATTAAATTGAATATATAGGTATTATTTTTTTAATGTTTCTTTAACCAATAAAGTCGTATATTTAGCCTATAAATAACATTATATTATATTTACCGTATAGTCTACTGAACAAAATAGGACTGACTATAATCGAATGCTTTTCGTTAAATCGGTATTAAATCTAGATACCGGATTATTATCGGGATACCGGATAAGTATCCGGTATTTCCTATACTTAAATTGAATTTTATATAAATTTCAGTTGAAACATAGTTTCTTTTACGCTTCCATATACCTTTAATGTAATATTGTTGATAACATGATATTGGCAAAAATGTGTATCGTTGCGTCATTAGTATTAAAATTAACTGGATGATGCTTAATTTTTTGTACGTTTTTTTGTATAAAATCAATAGTTGTATTTTAATAAATTATAATGAGTGCCAAGTTGCGATGAAGGTATCGTATACTTGGAACACAATTATAGTTATTAAGTAATTTAGAAATTATCTAAAACATAATTGTCCTGAATTGTTACATTTTCTTTAATTTTGAATATTGTAGAAAATATGAAGCAGATCGTAACTCATGGAACATCTTCTGCAATAACATTTTAAGAATCTACATAGAATAATTAGTTAATATAACTCCCGCCACTAGAGTTAGCCCGTAACCATTGTCTGTGGTCAAAATATGGTATGATAATACCATAATACCATAAACGTTATCATTTAAGTGTGTGTTCGTTTACATACATATTAACCACACATTATTAATAGTTAATAAACGGTCCAGCGCTAACTTTTGTAGCGGATGTTATATACAAATAAAATGTACGAACGATTTTAGGACAATTTTTTTATAGTGTGTACTTGTAGTATGTTTTCTTGTTTAAAATATATAAATGTATTTATATATTTTATGTGATAAAACATGCATGACGTAGTAATGTAAATAAATACATTTTTTCTTAGCTTTGCAAAGAGTGAGCGAATTAAGAATGAGTGTTTAGAATTGGTTGTGTTGGTAGATCTCTCGAATTTAAAATTGGTACTTCAATTAAATTCATAATTAATTAGCATTTATATATCTAAACTATGTAAAAATCAACTTTTTATATGAACGCGAGTGCAGTCACAAATAAAAGTAGTTTACATGAAAAAAGATTTTTCACGAATATACGGTAACATTCCATTTTTATATCAGTTTTGTAAAGACGAATACCGTGACATACTATCTAAAGCTATTGTAACGTGTTTAGTAAGTGAAAATAAACTTGCTAAAATTTAACTATGGTTCAAAAATGGTTAAAACCTTGAATAACGGCATCCATTTCTAGCGACTATGTTCACTATTAAAGCATTTTAAGTCTAAATTCATTTTATTGTACAATTAGAAGAAACTGTGATATTTATAAAACTTACGATGTATTAGTAATTTTGGTACATAATTTGTAATTGCTAATATTCTAGAAAATATAAAATTAAGTATATAAATTACACACTATATTAATATAAGTACTAATTAGATTCACTAGAATTCCATTAATATAAAAATGGCATTAGCATATTCTATACTATACGAGATAACTTTTACTATAGAAACACTTGAATTTAATGTTGTCAAATTACGTTCTAGGCAAAATTAGTCAGATTTTAGACTAAAAATGTGAAATAGTGTAACAGTTGCTTTAAATCAACCATGTTTTGTTTCTGGTGTGTGTCACCACCTCGGGTCACTATCAGTTAATAGTATAATTGAAATCTGATGTTGTCGAAACACTGTTATATATATGAATTGATGGATATTATATATATCCGTGAATTACATATACATATCAGTAATTAGTAATAAGTTAATTTGTCAAGTGATCGTCATACATTGGAATAAATTGCCAGTGAGTGGATTGAAATATTAATATACATTTCTTACTAAAAATACTGAGAATTAAAATTATAAATTAGGTGCTTTTGTATACTGTTTTTTAAAATAGTGCAATTTTGTAAATACGTATATAATTAAATCGGCTTTTACGTTACTAAATAATTTAATGAAGTAGATAAAGTGATCAAGTAGGGACCCTTGATAAATAACAATTTTGTATTTTATTAACTTGACAAATGGAATATACTTTAACTCTTGAAATTGTCGAATATGTACTTGATTCCAATGTCGTTCTTATTGCCAATGATATTTGCTCGGTTTTTACGTTTAGAGTAAATGTGCTCACCAGTTTCTTAAATAGTGTTTTTGTAACATTACAGTATTTACAAAGTTGTTAACATTTATTTTTCCAACCTTATTCTTCCATGTTAAGTTTTATTAACGATGAATGAGCCATATTATGTAATAGATACATTATAACAGATGTCACAAGTGTAGTTTGTGGCCTGTAATTTTGTATGTACAGTAAAAGTACTAGTAGTTAATGTATTTTTCCACTGCCAGTATTTCAACATCCATGATATGTAGGAAATTAGTTCGTAAGTTGGATAATGCTAGTGTTTACTTTTAGTGTTACTTTAAGGAGAATAAGTTGAATGATTTTTAATAACATTTTATAATAAAAATTAAATGAATTAACGTGATTGTATTATTTTTGTTCTAACCAAGCTATTTACCTAACATTTGTTTGTTTACATTGGCCTGATGGAGCACATTATAATATATTTATATTTTGATATTGGGTATGACTAACAGTCATCACATTGCTAGAAATGTACTCGATATGTTAGGTCGACCTCTACATGGTAGGTACGTACTAGAAAACCGTGGTTAATTCGTGATAAAAACTTGACTTCATGTTCATGATGGCGCAGGTGAGTGAACGCATTATTCCATTCATTATAAATAATATATCAATATAAATACCATTTATAATAAATGGAAAGCGTAATAGTCGATATGTGTCGTTATATTAATATATCTAGAGTATTATCAAAGAATATACTACTCAAGAGAGTATTATGTTCCTTGATTAATATAGTATTCGATTTCTTCGTTGATTGATCCTTAACTGAGTGAATGACGACTCACAGACTGACAGATTTGTCACTATGATAAATACTTGACAATTGACTTCAATTTTCTTTGTGTTGAATCAATCTTGAATTGATAAACATTCATACGAACTTTGTTATTGAAGTAAAAATAAACTTACATTTGAAGTTATTTTTATTTTTAATAGTATATAATTTTTTATTTGTGATTAAGTGGAAATCTCAACTATAATTATCGAATATAACAATAATATTCTTTAATGTAATTGCAATAAAATGTCTACTCGTGAAATACTCACCTTACAATTCGGTCACTATGCTAACTTTGTTGGTACTCATTTTTGGAATCAACAAGAACTTAGTTTTGACTACACCGGAACTAAAAAGTCTGAAGTGAATCATGACATCTTATACCGAGAAGGGCAATCGACTAGAGGTGAAGTAACCTATACGCCTAGGTTACTTTTGGCCGATTTGAAATACTCACTAAAAACATTACCTGCTAGTGGTGGTTTGTCTAATGATAGTGACAATGAACAGATACCATGGGATAATATAGAGAAAATTGAGGAACCAGTGGCCGAGAAGAATGACTACTTAAATGATATTGACTCACAGGAATCTTCTTCAGAACCAAAACAGTACAATTTGGATGAAGATATTAAGACATGGACAGATTTTTTATATCCCAGATTTCATTCTCGTTCCGTTAATATAGTTGAAGAATATAAACATGGTAGTGATAATGTAAGTTTTTCAATATATATTATCTTCACATTGCTTTCTAATTCTTAAAGTATCACAAACCCAGAACAGTCTTTCGTTTTATTTGCAATTCCACTAATGTGTGATTCTTGAATGGAAGTGACTAATTGGATTGTTATAGGTATTTTACATCTATAATATATATTCTTTCAGACCTCAAATTATTTACATACTTTTAGTACTTTCATTCTACTATATGATTCAACTTTCTATTATTATTATGTTTTGTATAGTATATTATGAAATGAGAAGAGAAGAGAATAAGTGCCCTTAATATAACCCACTTTTGAACTCACTATTACTTTAATAACATTATTATTATCTTCTACATATAGTATTGTATGTCCATGCCAAGTCTAGTATAAATATAATAATAATAATAAAAGTGAAATGTGTATTGCTGATCAAATTAATTCCATTTTTTTATTTCAGGAGAGTTTTGATATTTTCTGTTCTGGTATTTCAATATGGAAGTCAAATTATGGAGATGTATTTAGTGATAACATAAGGAAGTATGTAGAAGAATGTGATAGCATACAAGGTTTCCAGATTAACTTTGATTGTACTGATGGTTTTGCAGGACTTGCTTTAAGTTGTGTTGAACACTTAGATGATGAGTACACAAAGTCTATATTAGCTTATCCAATCATTCCATCATATTTTGCTGATAATAAACCAAGTACACAGGAAGAAAGAGATCAATCAAATTTGAAAGATTCAACAAGACTTGTTAATATTGCACTTTCTATTCAAGAATTATCAGAACATGCTTCTTTATTTGTACCAATATGTACAGGAGATAAAGGTTGGAGAAAGCCTGGCAGTCCAAGAGCATTTGACCATTTGAATTATGACCCCCAATTATATTACCATTCTTCTTCTTTACTAGCTGCAGCATTGGACTCGCTCGGTCAGAAATATAGGCACAAAAGTAATTTCTATACAATGTCTGATATCTGTGCTGACATGTCAGGTTATGGTAGAAAAATGGCTGCTGCATCATTAGGTATACCTTTCGCTATTAATGAATCAGAATACTTGATAGACTACTTAAATAATACTACTAAACCTATATTCACTGCCCTAACACCAAGTTGTAAAATTGCAACAGATAAGATATTCCAATTAGTAACTGTTAGAGGTATCCCAGAAAATTATTTAAAACCACCCTTAAAAGAAGCAAAGGATCAAATTAATTTACCTGCATACCAGTGTAACAGTGTAAAAGAAATGTTCCAGTTGTATTTCCAAGCCAGTAATTTTCTTTCTGCAACAAATGTAACAGTATGTAAACAGCCTTTTGAGCTGAAAACACCATTCCCAAAGATTTTATCCAATAATCTCAATAAATATGGTTTTCTGAAAAGTGACAACCGTCAAGAAGATATAGAAAGTTGTGCTGTTATAGCTGGTTACCATAATGGTAATTTCTTAGCTGATATGCTGGAAAAACTTCATAGAGAAGTTAGTAGGATAAAATTTTCTAAATTGCATAAGTTTAAAGAAGAGGGCTTAGAAGCTACAGATTATTTAGAGAGATTGGATAAACTTTCAGAGTTCAAAGACAATTATGAAGATGAATTTGAATTATAAATATGTAATGAATTTGATTACTAATTTTGTAATTTAAAATAGTATTCATTTACAAAATTAATTGCTAGTTATTTATGGAATAAATAGAAAATCTAGTGCCAGAGCATCTACACATACATATACTTAAATTTACAAATAATACAAGAAGCATATTTTACAAATCCTTCCTTCTACAAAATTACTAAGAGACCAAATGACTTTGTCATTTCTCGTCATCGTTGTCGTAATAAACGACAGTTCTAAGTGTTCTAAGACGCTTTAATTATTTACTAAGTTTATTTTCGACAAGTTGCTGCTGCTGCGATAGTTCGGGACTACGAAATGAAATAACGTGCCTAATAAAATATGACCAATTTATGTATTTAACTTCAAATAAATAAAAATGCAAAATTCATATAGTTTTATTTACGACGATTTAGATAAAATAAATCATATCTGAACCACACAATCGCAATTGTACACATTTACACATAACCATAATTCTACGGCGATCACGACGAACGCTCTAGTGCTCTTTCTTTCATTCTTGTTATAAATGCTGCACCTTTGTTCTTTCTAAAGTTTTCATAGGGGTCATTTAAATTCACTCCAACACCTTAAAAAAATTACATTTATATATTGACAGTTGATAGTAATAAATATTTTAAAATAACAGTCTCTTGAATACATAATCCAAAAATAAAATATCAGAAGCTAAGTTCTTTAATCATCGGTAATCGGCAATAGTACATGCTATTCTCATTTGAGTTTTGGCTGGAAACTATAAGTGAAATGTCTCCCCATAATTCCCTTAGATATCCAGAATGTGGCACTTAATAATGTGTGGTGTTTCAATGTATGGGCCATCTTTTTGTCATATCAGTACCTAAAAAAATAGTCCTATTTTACCTTTATATTGATCCTGTCTATCACGCACGGCGCCACCACTAATTGGCTCTGCTATACCTTGACCAGACGCGCCAAGACCGCCCGCACTCCAACCCATCTTTTGTAAGAGTTGATGCCCTTTATTACTAGAATCTATACCACCAGAGGTAGTAGGATAAGCTCCACCCCTGTAGATGTAAACAAAGTATATCTGATTAAATGTCCAGTCTTGACATTTCAATTACTTCATACAAGCCATATGAAATTACTTTTACATCTGTATAGTAAAAGGATATTTTCCAGTCTTGACAAAAATTAGTATAATTGGAAATTAGGAATTGAATGTATTATGCATTTAGAGAAACAAACACCGCTGTTAAGGAACAAGTAATCTAATTGTAAGTAAGAATATACATAGTCAGCGTTCATGGAGATCTCGGATCGCCATTACAGTACCTTGATACTTGATGTTTCTAATTTCTGGGACTCTTTATTCCGACAAAAAGTGTGTCTTTTGTATTAGTTGAAGCAATATAGGTACAAAATGAAAACACGTAAACATAAAAATTACGTAAATGGGATGGATTAATTTTTTTCCATAATTAATTGAAATTACGGTTATGTTTGACATTCAGTAAAATAGACAAACAATATTAATCTATTCTCAATTTGAAACAGACTAACAGTAAACAAAAGAGTATATATCAGCATTCTCGACTCTGCTCAATGTAAAACAGTTTTTGCTTCACGTATTAATATGATTAAATAATAATTCACTAACAGAAAGCTAGGCGGTGTCGGTGATCTAGAACGTTCGACTCGCCGCGACCGTGGCGACTCCCGGTGACGCTCCCGCTCTCGTGAGCGACTGCGCGACCGCGAACGAGATCTGGACCGGGAACGCCTGCGACCTATAAATAATATCATATATAGGGCCCTCACAGGACATTGCAAATTGAACAAACATATAGCACAACAAAAATCTGCAGATTTTGCCAAACTTAAGAGGAGACGCCACTACACATCCTGTGTGGTAGTAGCACATCTTCTTTGGAAAGATTACACTCCATGCTGAGGAGATAAAAACCATCGGTCATAAGAATATCCTTCAATTCTTGTCCCTGATGGGTCTAGGTACCGAACTCCGAAAAAGGGCGAGCACAATAGATCTATGTAAGTCGCAGTGCTAACGTTTCAAGCACCTGACAATAGCCCAAACCCCAATAAAAATTTAAAAAATCTGTGCCTTTTTTTAACAGATATCTGTCTAGAATCAGACTCAGAATAGAGGCTAATAGGACTAAACCATGTCACATAACACCAGTACAAGAGAAGGAAAACTCCAAATGAAACTATACAAAGGCATAAAATCAATAATAGTAGGATATATCCTAATAATGCAGTACGTTAGCATTAGAATATTTACTTTCTCTCTCCCGATCTCTCCTCCATGAAGATGTTTTCCGTCTTGGTGAAGGAGACCTTGACCTTGACTTTGCTGGTGATGGCTTTTCTGGCGTTTTGCTTTTTGACCTGTTATATACACAGAATATTAGAATAATATATCAGATTGACAACACATACATAATGCTTACACACGTAAATATGACGACCTCGGTGGTCTAGCGGTTTAACACACCGCTTTACGTTCGATGGTTACCGGTACGATTCCTCGCACGGTAGAAACATTCGTATTCATGAGTATGATTGTTTGTATCGGTCTGGGTTTTTTCTATGTATAATATTTAAGTGTTTATAAATAAAAATTCTATACATTTATATCAGTTGTCTCGTACAAGCTCTGCTTGGGACTAGATGGCACTGTGTGATTTGTCCAGGGATATTATTATTATGATGTGTCAAAGATTAAAGAAACTAGAATTTTACTGAACTAATTACATGTAATATAAAGTCATGGGGAGATTGTATAAAAATATCGTAAACACTAGAGAAAGAAGAACATTTTCCAAATTAACTTAGATTAAATGTACTTTTCACATGACTCAAATTTAATATGTAAATATAAACAAAACTATAACGCGTGTGAAATACTTCTTCTTCTCTTAAAATAGAGAGAGAGAGAGATATTACTATTTACCTGTATCTTCTTCCAGGTGGGGTGGGTTGTTTCTGGAGATCTTTAGGTATTGGGCTCGGAGATCTTGACTTCTGTCTGATGCCCTGTGCTATTGCTTCTTCTTTATTTTTTCTAGCTGCATTCTTAGCTTTATAATACTCATATAATCCAAGTTTTTCCCAGCCCTCACTAAAATATAGCATTTATGTATCACAAATATATCAGTTATTTTGTTACTATAAAGATGGAGGAAGAAATATGGATGAATATTTGTCTGCATGCAAAGCAGCGAGGTATAAAAATTACACGGTAGAGAGGTCTACAGAATCCATGAGTCATGAGAGTAGATAATGGTCAAGTGGTGTCTATAATATAATATTATTAGGCAAGCATCATTTTCTGCATACAATTAGGCAAAGCTAACCTGTATCCAGAATTAATTAAACAATCTGTACTTATCATCATAATCTGTGTTCAGACACATGCTGCATACAATGCAAAAGCGAAGGTAACCTGTATCAATATTGAATTAAAAAAATAGATAACTTACTTATCTCTGGGTCGTTCGTGGTTAGGCGATGCGTAGAATGCATCAACTGCTGCAAGAAGCCTCTCATTGGGTGGAGCTGGTGGCGGTAAACGAATATGTGCAGGGTCTAATGGCTTATACCTATCATCCTCCAACTGAAATTTTACATTTAATATATTTATAACATTGCTGCAAATAATTTAAGACACAAATTAAAGACGTTCATTTACCATAATAAGAGGGACCATCAAACCAGCCGGCAACTCGAAATAAGGTACAGATGGCATCAACTCTTCATTATTTATTTCAGGGAATGGCAGGAAGCCAGGTGGGGGTTTACTAAGATCAGGAAGACCATTTTGGAATGCTAATAATGCAGAATCATTTGGCTCAAAACCTGGTGGTGGTTGTGAGAAATTGACATTTGGAAGATTAATCAAATCCGGCTCTTCTACCGTATCATTTTGTTTATTTGTAATCTGATCAAATGTCTGACTATCATAACTATTTTCATTCCCGCTTACACTGTTGTTAGATGCATAATTGTCTCCACTTTCACTACCATACAATTGATTATTTGAGTTAAAATTTGTTTCAAAACCACCCATTTGTTGGAACCCTTGGTCAAAATTATTATTTTGGAAAGAATTTTTAATATTATTTTGCTGTTGTATATTATTTTGTTGTTGTATATTATTTTGTTGTTGTATATTATTTTGTTGTTGTATGTCATTATTTTGTTCCATATTTTGCAATTCAAGAGCACGTTTCTGTATTTCTAGTTGCTGAATCTGTTGCAATGTATGAGTGACGAATGCTTGGTGTTGCGTCTGATAGCTGGAAAATAAATCAAGTGTATTAATATCAGATTGAAAAAAAATGTTTATCTAAAAATACATCCATACATACTTCTCAAAAGTGGCCTTTGTTTGTTGTGTAAGATGTGAAATGGCATTAGAGTGCTGGGCAATCAAATTATTTTGATAGTCTTGATAGGAACTAGTAGGACTCTTCATTTTCTCAATGACAGCAGTCTCGAAATAATTAGACTTGGATTCCCATAGTCGGAGCAACTTGTTCAACTTAGCCTCCTGTTCTTCAGTAACAGCTGAAACAGTAAAATTGTAAAATAGGTGTCGAATGAGCCACATAAAGGTAAGCAAGTTACCTGTCTGGCACAAACCACAGGTGATGATGTTCTAAAATTTTTATAATTATTGAAGATGAGAATGCACAAACGAACAATAGAGACCTACATCTTGAGGACATTATTATAAATATGTTACCTATACTGGCATTGCAAAACATTGGAACCACCACATTTTCCAAATTTTTCTTGAGATCTTCTGCGTTTTTGCGTGCACTGTAATTAGGAATAACAGTATCATAGACACCGAATTTACAATAATAGCAAGAGACACACAATGAGAACGAGACCAAACAATAAGTGAAAATGTAAACTGTACATTAAACATATTAATATACTGATCACCATTTCAAATTATAATATTAGTAATATCATAAATGCATAAACAATACCTAATTCGACATTGAAAGAAGTTCACATGATTAGGACATATTTACAAAAGTCTCAATAAAAAGTGGATTTAATTATAAAGTAGATGAGACAAGACAACAAGATTTATATAACATAATTGTTCATAATATATGTTTTCAGAACAAATTTAATATTATATAATATACAGAAAATAATTCCAAATATCTAATATGCACATTTGATACCATAAGAATCCAATAAGTTAACAACACATTTTGTTATATAATAAGTATACTTAAATTTGAAGAAAAATTTATGTATTTGTTTACCAAATCACGTTTATAGCATAAATAATTCCAGGATACAGAATATATCCATACTTTATTACTAATACTACTATTTTTATTTATATATCAATTGTACAAAAGTAGGTATATTTTGAACTGTGATACATTGGAGGTTATAAAAAGTAGTACCTATACAATAGCTACAGTTAGCTTATTCTTATAGCTTCCGTTTATATCAAAAGAGTAACAAATATAAATATGTGAACAGAAAACTGACAAACTAAAATAGAGTATATGCCTACTACCATAATATGCAAAAAGTGAAATGTGGATTAATATTTGAGAAACATTAATGCACATTTGAAAAATATTTGGAAAAATAATAGATACAGTATCTCAGTATGTTATATTTGTATGTGACACAATTAAAATTCAATTAAACAACTATCAATAAATTGTTTAATGGAGTATTTATATCAGCATTTCAATCAACTGTTAATGAAGTGTTTAATAAATAAATTGATACTATAAAGGTCAAGTAAATCTCATTTACTAGTAGGCATATACCACATTTAAAAAAATATAACACCAAGATATTATGTGTAGAATACTAACCAATGATGTAGCACATCATTAACAAGGTAAATGATGTGAAGTTTCTGTGTGAATGCTGCACCTGGTTGGGTCACCTTTCTTAGAAGATGTTGTGATATCACTTTGCCAGCAACATTTGATGATGCATGTTGCAAAATCCAGCCCTTACCTGATAATAAAATATGATACATCATGAAAATGGAAAAATCACCTAAATACTCTTTTAATTCTTTACAAGTTATAATTGAATGACTACTATATTAATACTTATAAATTGTATATGAATTAAAAGTGTATTTGTAATTAAAATCCCATTTTTAAGCATAGGGCTTGTGAGTTGGTCCTACTCTTCTATTGCTATATAAAGTTTTAGTCTGCACAATAAACATAACTTATGTATAACATTTAATTAAAGCACAATAGATAAATAATTTAAAAACAGTCATATTGTTTTTACATAGTTTACAAATTAGATCACTTAATATAGATTATATGCTTGAGTAAATATTGTATTATTTGTATAAGTATCTCTGTTTAAACTTTCTTTCTTAGTTTATCCTACCAATCAGCAGGTTACTATTTTCTAATGTTAAGAGTCATATTACAAAAATCATACTTTGAAAGAGGCATGTGCCTCTTTCATCCTTATAAATGGCAATGCATTGCATATATGTTATGTAACAAAGTGATGTTTGTGATGCTATAATTATATTATGTATATTCGTACAGGTGGGCTGTCACATTTACTATTTAGTTACACATAAAAAATTACCTGATGAAATACTATCTTTAGTACAAGTTTCAATGATTGGCTGCAGGATATTGTCCAGTTCTGGAAGGCTAATGTTAATCTCGTCAGCCATCATTTGAATGGTCTCCACTTGAGCCTTGCTCACCAGTTCATTGATCTTAGTTTGCTGTTGTTGTATCAACACCTAAAATTATACATACATGTAGTTGAATGTATAGGATATTTGAGAGCATGGTCAATTTATAAACACATATTACTTTTATTACATTACACATATTAATTATACCTAAACCCAAATTTGCTTTGCTATTTCTTTATTATTTTATCAAACCATTTAATATTAAGTATAATTAATGATAAATATTGCCTGCAAATAAAACATTATTTAAGATATTGTATAAGGACATTAGTTCATATCAAAATATGTAAAAATATTGATGAGCATGCAAAATGGAGCTTAGGCTAAATTGTGTAAACTCAGTAAAGCTATATTATTTATATTAAATGTAACAAATTCAGATAGATATGTACATAAATATTAAGTATTCTATAATTCAGAAAGCAATTAAATTCAGCAATATATTACAATTTTAAATACAAATAAGAACTCACAGAATGTTGAGCGCTCAGATTATTCTCCGACTGACTAATCTGTTCTTTTAACATGTTGATCTGTGCATTGACGTTCTCAACTTCGTGTTGGCTGTGCTGCGGCGTCGAGGGAGGTGCAGAGTTGGCCGCAAGCCACTGCTGCAACGCAGGTGCCGCTGCCATCGAAGCCGCTAGGCCGAGCTGAGCGGGCGTCGCACCGGCCTGTTGGGGCATTACATATTGCCTGTTCTGTGCCATATAAGCCCCGGCGGGAGCGGGTGCCGCCTGGCCACCGGCCGATTGCTTTAGAACTATAAACAGCGGAGGTTCACTTGAAACGGTTATAACAACATGCATCCTGCGATCGGAGGCGACCGCCAATATTCAACATCTGCCATCATCACTTTATAATGCTTACTTGCTTGTTCTGTCGTCACTTTGTACTGGTAGTAGTTGAAATATTCTCCGCCATACAGGAAGCTGAATTTTGGATTATTCTTCTGTTTGTTCTTGGTCATTTTCTCAAATTCCGGTCCATTTCTTGCGACAAACTGGGCAAGTTTGTCTATTATATTACGTAGATCTTGATCTGTAATCATAATATAGATATTATAACACATATTTGAGCTATTCAAACAGATATATTTTCAATATTTCTTATCAGCATACCTTGAGGTGGTTGGGGAAGATCCATTTTACTTTCCAAATTAAGGTTAGTCAAGTATTGTCATTCAACTTAGATGTTTTGTTAAAGTTGCAACCACCATCATAAAATGAAATAGTAAAGCAAATATTATCACGTTCACTGAACAGTATTTAAATGTAGACGCAAAAGTATGTCTTTACAAACATTTTCAAAAGATAATTTTTTTCGGCCATTTGTAAAACTGTAGGCGAATGGGTTGCCATCTCCTAGCAAAATATAGTGAAACAATCATCATCATCATCATCATATAAACTAGAGGTGTTCGTTCAACAAAAATTGGTGATCAAATCGAACATCAATCCTTTTAAAAAGTGAATCGATACTTTCGGCTGCTGTTGCCACAAATCGACTACCTAGTATTTTTCTAACAATTAATTAATTTTGAATCGGACTAGATCATTTATATTCGACAGATTTCAGCTATAACAATTATTATTTAATTAGATCTTAATGTACCTATACACAGAATTCTAGCAATACCTTTATCTTTACAGCATTCTGATCTATTGTATGTCAAGTACTGAGTAGAGATCATAGTGGGTAAATAAATTTCAATAAACATTGATAACATTCCTGGTTTTTCGAGAATAGTGAGGCACAAGTCTCTCAATATCATGAATCATTTATAATTAAATGATAACAGATTTTTCCATTACTTACTTTTTTCGATTACCGATTTGTTTTTTTCATTAAATTTCGGATGTGTGGGCGCACCTCTAAAGAAGTAAAAATCATTAGAGTATTTTTGTAAAAAAATCTACGTGTTTGGGTTGCCAACCGTGAGGCCAATAGGCCTCACGATTTCATACATACATAATTATGTATGTATGAAATTATGAATTTTCAGTTAATAATTGAAAGTTCATAATTTCCTTTTTTGTAAAATTGTAATAATAATAGATGATGTAAAATGTCACTTACATACCTACAAGAATACCATCACTGATATCACAGAATACATTGTGACGACTGTGATACCGCTCATGCGCTCGTACCGTGTCTCGGTCCTTTGTAATTACACTAATCTATTGTTGAAATCGAAATGCATCTGATAAAGCGAGATGCAGAAGTAAGTACCTACAGTAACTAAATAACTGTAGGTACTTACTTAAAATGCCTCGTCTTCGCTTTTAGACACGGGTGACAAACCACTGATATTTTTGGGAGAATTTCTTAATATTATTACTTAACTGGAACAACTACAACAGAATAAATGGCGCGGCCAGAATCTGCGGCGCGGCGCCTTGCACTAGCCTTTTAACTGTGGATGTATAGGAGTACCGGACCTTAGATGATTTTAGCATCTTAAGCTTATTTGTTCTTATTATGTCTCTACCTTGTCACAAGCGCTGTCTAAATATAATAGTTGTTCTGTAAAGACGTAAAATTCTTTTATTCAAATTTACCTCGTAAAAATAAATAATACAGAAATAAAAACAGTGTAGAACAACAGTAAAAATATTAAAATAGCAGTCGCAACGGCTGAAGAAATTCACCGAATTTGTCTTTTGGACGATGTCACTTCCTTTCAGCTATGGAAATTTGAAATAAAAATTTTTCTCGAAGCAAAAGGTCTATTACAATATATTGATAATGCAGACAATACTGAGGAAAAAATACAAACAGGTAAAGACGCCACACAAAAACCCTTCATATCTGTGCAATACATCACATTAGCATTACTATCGAAATACCTAATACTAGGTCGTTACTAAATCATGCAGTTGTACAAAAATGGATTTTTAGCTCTTTGTTACAAGCATGGTACAAATCCAAAGTTGCTAAGGTTGGTAACCCTGTGAAGTATTGATCGTAGACCAATAATTTGCCAGCAGATTAGTGATATGGCCATTCTTACGAATATATCTCTTATCAAAAAGTGACTGTTGTAGTTTGTTGATTAATTGTGACATAGTCATTTATTACAAAATAAATATTTCAAACAAAACTAATATTGTGTAAAATAAATCATGTCTTCATCGGTAAGTTCCATTATATATATTTTTAGACATATCTATTTATTGTTATGTTATTGATTTGTTGTAAATTATTAATGTTTTTGAAGAAACCACAGCTGTAAAAAATATTAAAATAAAATATTTTAATTTCTTTTTACTTTAGAATCTGAACCTGATGGTTTTTTAATGAAATCTGTTGAAAACCAAATACTATTTCAAAGTCACTGCTTAATGATAGCTAATTATTTAGGTGCCTATTTAACACTGAAGGTTATTTACAATTTACACAGCGTATGAAGGCAGCAAAATGTGCATCAGATGAGCTCGCCATAACAAACTGCGCGCTCATCAACCCCGACGACTTTCCCAGTGATGTAAAGTAAGTTTAATTATCCATCAGTCTGTATAAAGTTAATCACAGCAGGTTTCATTTCATATTTGTGAACATTACCAAACTCTATTGTAGTGGGACAGATACTTTTATTATGTAACTAGAATGACAAAGAAGCTGACTGCCCATGCAATGAAAGTGGTAATCCTCACTAAAAAACAATAGTAAGCACATTGCCCATGGTACCTGTTAAGCTAGATCATTCATGAGAAATGTCATGCCAATAATAATAAAAGCCCTGGACAATTCAAACAGTACTATCTAGATAATATATATAGAGAACACTTAGATCAATACAAACAATTATACTCATGAATAAGTTTGTACTGTGAGAGGTAACCCGCAACTATCGGAAGTAAGGTGATGTGTTAAACCCCTAGATTAATGATGCCAATGAAACTTCACTGCTACAGCTGTCTGGCAGAAAGAATTAGTGGAATGATATGATGGATGAATACTAAAATATTGTTTTATTTTAAGCTCGTCTATTTTAATTCTTGTTATGTGCCCTAGATGATACTCACAGAGAACTAAATGCCACGTGTTTTAATTTATATATTGGACTCATTATAATGACAATAATTTGTTATGATATTAGATACATATGTATGCTGGTAAGGCTACAAAAACAACTTAAATTACATTAGATACTCAGATCCTCAGATCTTAATCAAATCAATATGGATATATATAAGAAGCAGCACCCTATAAATAAAAAAGTATTAACAGAATTTAGTTCATGTAAAAAAAGTCCTGAGGTAAAGTATTAATGACTTTCTCTGGTTATATTGACAACTTTCTCTGATTTACTTAATATATTTATTATTTTAACTATAATAATAACTTTGTTGCGGATTTGTTTATGGATGGTATTGATATTTTATTAATAACAATTTTGAGAATAATCAATATTGATTATTAAACAATAATACAAAAAAAAAGAAAACAAATTTAGACCTATACAATACTATACATATAATTTGTATATTTTCATTTAGTTAGAGAGTTACTTCTATAGTAATAGGATGGGGCGTGGTCTGTTCTGAGTATAGTAGTAATTTCTAAGTGAGTATTACTGTTGTTATATTCTATAAACTTTTAAATACAGTAATTTAACTAAAATGGCAGCTATAGTCCTCTAGTGATAGAAGTGTTAGTTAAATAATTACCTACATTCTGTATCGAATTTAACCAAAAAAGGTTAAATTCATGCTTATGAATAAAGATTTCTTTCATATCTTATACTTTTTGATCTCTGATTTTTTTGTTTTATGTATCATGAATAACAATCAGGCTGTATATGGCATATGGGGGGTGTATAGTGTTTGCATATTATTTAGTCATACAATGTAAGCATATTAGTAGTAGAAACATTTACCTAAGTTAGGTAAATATCAAAAATATGCTTTTCCCATTACTGCCCTTCAACCACTTTCTGTTTTTACCCAAAGGTTAGCTGGTAGAGAATGCCATATGGTATTAAACTCGCCAATTGTGCATTTATTTTAAATAATACAGAATAAATAAATTAATATATAAATATTTCAGGCACATTGAGGTATCCACTGGACCATCCCAACATTTCGTCTTCAGTACAAGATTTTATAACGGTGTAGACCGTGGGACAGTGGGTTTCTCTGCACCACAGAGAAAATGGGCGACATTGTCTATTGGTCAGGTAGGTTAGAAGTTTCTATTTAATGTATTAGGGCCCCCACACATTTTCGTTAAGAGTCATATGACTACTGCTAACGTTGTTGGATTGCCATATTGGTTGCTATGCCTCGTCCCTTTGAAAATATGCTAATCAAAAGTAGTCAGTACGGGTCGTCTGGACTGAACCTAAAAATGTGAGCCCAGGTTTAACAAACTCGACTATGAATTACTGTGGCTAAAAATCAGTGTCAAGTTTAATTTTTGTCGAATTACACAGAATAAATTAATGTTTATATAAATTAGTTAACTATATTTAGCTGTTTATCCCGGACAAACATCATGACGTAAGATTTTAATATATAAATTACCAATATCCTACAAAAATTATCATAATATTATTAATAATAATTATTATAATATTTGTCTATTGTGTATAGTTATTTACTATGTAGTTTAATTTCACTCAGATTAAAATTGTAAATGTAGTCTCTTTAATTGTATTCTAAATAAATGTACACATTATAATAAAAAAAGAAATAATAATAAACAAATAATGTTACAGCCAATAGACGTAAAGATTTTCAAACCTCAGAATGCAGAATGCTTATGCAGTCTGACCTTAGATGCCGATTTCCTACTGAAGAAAACGTAAGTGTGACTTATTATTTACAATTATTCTAATTACTATACTTGTACAAAAAAGTGTAACACAGGTATTTTTTTTAACAGAGTACAAAGAAAATAATTTTATACTTGAACTTTTATAAAATTTAATATATTAATAGCGTAGTTTATTACGCTCAAGTGCCAAGTTAGTGCTGAAATCCGTTATCATATTAGTTTCAATATTACATTAATTTAAATGAAATAACTTCATTCTAAATATATTCTAAACATCTACGAATTATCTATTTGTATAATCTAAACCAATAAATCTTTGAAATTTCAAATTAAAAACTTATGCTAAATGCATATGGAAGTATATTTGGTACTTATGGTAAAATAAAATCTTTCCGTCTGTCTGTTTGTTCCTGCTAATCTCTGAAATGACTGGACCGATTTTGACGCGTCTTTCACTCACAGAATACTTTTAAGAATATCATTTAAATTAATAAATATAAAATTTAATTCGACGCGGACGAAGTTTCTGGTAATGATTAGTATACTGCATATTGCATTTGAAAATAACAGTAATCAAAATCAAAATTAATTGGAGACAATGTTGGAGGATTATCTCTAAAAGAGATATTTTCCTGTCAATTTAATACATTGGGATATAAATAGTAAGTAAGTGATAGAAATGCAAGTTACAAATAAATATTGAAAATTAATAATGACTAATTACAATTATAACCATCTACAACAGATAAAGTATATTATAAATAACATATAACAACTGGCTTTTTATTATAGTCTCTGTCTACACGCACCATGACCCTAATGTAGAAAAAGGAGTCCACTTTACATCTTAATTTTAATAATAATTGTATATTCTTGCAGTACATCTTTAGATCCATATGATTCAGAGCAAATGGCTCGGGACTTCCTCATCCAGTTTTCGAACCAGATATTCTCTGTGGGACAGCAACTCGCGTTCTCCTTTCAGGATAAGAAGATATTGTCATTAATTGTGAAGAACTTGGAAGGTAAATATAGCCTACAAAATTAGCATTATGATTGTAATAAAGAAGCAATGATATAGTGATGTAATGTGTGAGTAATGCCCGCCAATACACTTATACATGTACCTGGAAATATAATCTAAAGTCAACACGATTGCAAACAATAAAAGATATTTAGAAACATTACGATAATTACTTGATATTAAGAAAGATGGTGAAATGTACTTAAACATACTTTTGCAATATGTAAATAAAACACGTTGTGTAATAGTTATGCCTTTTTAAGTTACCGAACTTCTAGGGGCTATCTATAAATTATGTCACAATTTTCATGACTTTTTGACATTTCACCCCATCCCTGTCACATTTATGAAACTCCTCCCTAGTGTTACATCACATTTTGAAATCCACTAGAAAATCAGTAGATATTACACGATATTTAGAAGCGTCACACTGAAGAAGTGTGACCCCCTCATGTATAGGTGTGACTTAATGTATGAATAGCCCCCGGAAATACTCATATTCCGAGGCCGTGATATTGGTATGACGTCATGATATACTATACACCTGTAAGCGTTATGAGTAATACCCACTTCCAAGTAATGAAAAAAAATTGTAATATTACAAACATAATTGTTAACAAATATTCAATGATTTTACTGAAGCATTTTGTATCACAGCTTCATTCTCTCTTCGTACGATTTGAACACTGATGAATGTGATGTTAAATAATACAATATTTATCTTTAACTAGCAGACCCGGTAACGAGTTGGTGTGGCAAAAGTTCTTGAATAAAATAATATTGCGACTATAAATTGAGATATAAGCTGTCCTATCTTTCAAGTTAGATCAAATTGCACACAATGTGCAAGGCAAATTTGCAATCGGTTCAGTAGTTTAGGAGTCCATCACGGACAAACAACGTGACACGTAATTTTTATATATAAAGATTTATTAAAAACTTTATTGACTTCATTATAATTACTCAAAATGAATACAAAATATACAAAAACGATTGTTTTTGTATATCACTGTTTGTTTTTATCTGTTTTTGTCATTGTCTTTCATATGTCATTTCACTTTTAATAGATATTTTATATTCCGGATTTTTTTAAAGACACGATTCAGATATATAAGTTAGGAATAACTCTATAGTTATGTGTTAGCTCCATAATCGGATGTCCGCCATTTTGTCAATTATTACAAAAAGACGCGATAGAACCTCCGGTTGAAAAATACGTGACCTGACGGCGTACGCAGTCTTTTTCCTTATCTTTGTATTACATGCACACATTTTCCTGCATGAAAGCCGATTCGCGCGTGAATGAGAGTACAACTAAGAGTAGCTAATGTCCTTGAATATGTATTCCGTTTTGTCAGCTGTAGACGTACAAGCACTAACGGCTGGCGGGAAGCCGGTCCCTCGTCGAGTAAGGATGGGTCGCCTGTTGCCTGATGCCTGCATACAGTTCGACAAAGCAGAGAATTCTTCTCTCAATTTGGTTGGCAAAGCGAAGGGGTAAGATATATACTTGTCATAAATAGAGATAGTAGGAGTAAATTGAGAAACAAAGACTACGAAGAGTAGACTTCTTTATAAGTGGAAAAGTTTTTTACATCCCCTAAGCCTTGAGCTAAAATCCCTTTGTAAATAAATAAGTTCTCTAAATTCCATAAGGCCCTGGTCTAAAATCTCTGTAAGTCTGTTTTTAAGACATATGTATTACACTATATATATGGTGTCTTCGCGAAGGGGAGACGAAATTTTTTTTACTTTAACCTGGGCTAGTAAAATATGCCACTATGTTAAAAATTATAATTTTAATAAATAAAATTTAAAAGTACACTTTATTGTTATTTTCGGCCATCATCGAAAATGTTTTCCAAATTGCGAAATCCGAAATTAAATTGAAATGATGTCGAATAGGTTCTTTGTATTTTATTTCGGACAAGAAACGAGTACTATCTGAGGGATTGCCTCATCAATATTACTGTACTAAAGTTGTAACGAATGTAAATTAAAATGGATCCAATATTGTATTGTGTAGAAAGCAGCCTCGACAGTCTATCATAAATCCTGACTGGGACTTCGGCAAAATGGGAATCGGTGGCTTGGATAATGAGTTCAATGCGATCTTCAGACGAGCTTTTGCTTCTCGAGTCTTTCCACCAGAAGTTGTTGAGCAATTAGGTAAATAAAAATACCTTTATGTTGTTATACTGAAATTATAACTTAACATTTGCATGTTGTATTATAGTATAGGTTGATTATATTTTAGGCAAAACATTCTATTCAAATTTTGTTTATAAAAGTCAAATCTATTGATATGTTTTCATTTTCCTCCATGATTAGTAGAATAGAATAGAATAGAATAGAAAATCATTTATTCAAATAAACTTAATTTAAGCACTTTTGAATAGTCATAACAATTTGTTTTTTATCTACCACTCGTTCGAAAGCTGTCTCATCACAAGAAGAACGAGCAAGAAACTTGTGTGTTGCTCTTTTAAATAATCCAATATTGTAAGTTTACATTTACAAGTCGAAACGTGTGAATACAAACTACCAACAAGCACTAATTTTTTGGGTCAAATATAATCATGCAATAAGATTAAATCAGTCGTAGTGATAAGAGCAGACCAGTCCCTACAAGCAGCACTCGTTCACGAGTATGACGGATGAGCCCGCCATCAATCATAGTATTAAAAAGATATTAATTTTACATTTTAATTACCGTGTTATGTTAATCAAAATAATAAATTTTAGGGTGCAAGCACGTTAAGGGTATTTTACTATTTGGCCCACCCGGTACTGGTAAAACTTTGATGGCCAGACAGATCGGGAATATGCTGAACGCTCGTGAGCCAAAAATCGTCAACGGGCCTCAAATATTGGACAAATATGTTGGCGAGAGTGAGGCCAACATCCGTAGATTGTTTGCTGACGCCGAAGAAGAAGAAAAGAGAGTAAGTTACAGTACAATACATTTTATTGTATTTTTGTTAAACATATCTTAATTTATTAATTTAATTGTAGTGCGGACCCAACAGCGGACTACACATAATTATATTTGATGAAATCGACGCCATTTGCAAGGCCCGAGGTTCAGTTGGAGGGAACACCGGTGTTCACGATACTGTTGTGAATCAGCTTCTATCGAAGATCGATGGTAATGTTTTATGCGTATTCTTAAACTACGTATAATATTATATAAGAGTTATATAAACCACACTTCATATATATATACGCGCCAACTGGAACAGCTTACTAAGAAGCCACTGTGGTGTACCCATACAGAGGACTTTAAATAAAATACTCCTTTGGGTAAGTCAGGTTTAATAGGGATAATAACGATCCACTGTCACTTAAACAAACACTTCGTACACAATTTTACTCCTTTGAAGCCGAAGAAACTGCCGCTCACGTAATCCTAGAGTGCATATAGCCGTGGTGTATGTACATAAATACTCGGAACTATGAGGTCGCTTCATGAAGAATGAAGACACCAGGAGTCTTATGCGCTGCTGGAAGGAGTTTTGCTGGCTACTTTAGTAGTCTTGGATCTACACTAACAACGATCCAGATAAAAGGCTAAATGCTGAGAATAGTCTAATTTACATTTACAGTCAGGTTTAATTTTGGTAGTCTAAATACATTTAGTACAATGAAGCGTATTTTTATAGGTGTGGATCAACTGAATAATATCCTTGTCATCGGTATGACAAACCGTCGTGATATGATTGACGAGGCTTTGATGCGACCCGGTCGTCTAGAAGTACAGATGGAAATCGGCTTACCTGATGAGAAGGGGCGCGTCCAGATATTGAACATTCATACTAAACGTATGCGTGAATATAAGAAAATCGCTGAGGATGTAGATTCTAAGGTAAAATTATATCTCTACTTAGTACAAAATTTAATAGATTCTAATGCAGCTTTTAGCAATAGATAGAGTGATTCAAGAGTAAAGAAACCTGCGCGGATCGGCTGGAATTGGTGAGGCATCAGTGAAAGATAATAAAATGAGAATGAGATCATGTCAGTTAGCTCATCGTAATGAAATCACTTGGTTTCCAGGTAAACGCGAGAAGGTCGAGCTGACGAATGTACGATACATTGCTAGCAATGAGATCCTAGTATCCATTACTAACACTCGCCTTCCCCTTAACACTTGTATATTATAAAGATATTTTTATCCTTCAGGAACTAGCGACCCTGACGAAGAACTTCTCTGGTGCGGAATTGGAAGGTCTTGTGAGGGCCGCACAGTCCACTGCTATGAACAGGCTCATTAAGGCGTCAAGTAAGGTGGAAGTGGACCCTGAGGCCATGGAGAAACTCATGGTTGAACGTGGCGACTTCTTACATGCACTTGAAAATGATATTAAACCCGTAAGTACTACCGAAATATTGTAGTACGTGTCACTGAAAAATGTTTCTAGAATAAATTGTACATAATATAACCTAACATAGCACAGTGGTCTAGTCGTTTTCAACTTTAACTTATATCTAAGAGTAACTACACTACTACAATAATATTTATGATGTCTCTTTTCTTTAAACCTTTGCAGTACTTATTTATATCATTCCGAAAATTAATTCGAGAGACGGCGGTAGGCACGTTACGTTGGATTCGCGGGAGTGTCTAGCTTAGTATTCACCATAACATCAACATTTGACGATATCAATGACTAGTCTATCTGAGATGACAGTCGTGATATATTTTGTACAGGCTTTCGGAACGGCAGCAGAAGCATTGGAGCACTTCTTGGCACGTGGTGTAATAAATTGGGGCAATCCAGTATCATCCATTTTGGAGGACGGCCAACTTTACATACAACAGGCTCGAGCTACTGAAGCCAGTGGTAAGTTTATTACGGTTGAAATTTAAAATGTAGGTTTATTTTTTTAATGTAAGCATCTGTTATGAAAGGATATTTGATAATTTCTACTTCAATTATCTAATTTTAACTTACCTGATCCTGCAATGCTGCTGGCCAGTTCAATCTTTAATGTCGTCATCTTTTAAACAAAGCCTACTGGTTATGTTAACAAATTTACATGTTTTAACATTGTTACTCACTTGTTTTCAAGGCTTAGTGTCGGTACTATTGGAGGGGCCACCTAACAGTGGTAAAACGGCGATGGCAGCTCAACTCGCTAAACTATCCGACTTCCCGTTCGTCAAGGTGTGCTCACCTGAGGACATGATCGGCTTCACAGAGTCCGCTAAGTGCTTGCAGATCAGAAAGGTACTCATTTTTTATAATAACATACTTGTAACTTAAATAAGGTCTAACAATAGGCCAAAATATAATAATGGTAATGATGACGTAATTTATTAGAATTATTAAATTGCAAAGGTCATAATTATCCTCAGATTGCTTATAGAGATATATATTTAGCAATTCGGCAACGTTGATCAGAAAGGTTCTTTTAAGAAATCGTTTGCTTTGGTACCTTTGTTTCAACTTCATAGATATATATATAGCTATCAAGAAGTTTGTTTTGTAAGCTGTATCGGTTGTATAGTAAAATTACAGGTTAAAAAGTCATGATATTTTAATTATCTGGAATGGGCATAATAGGACTATATCATATGCGCGATGGTGTTCATGTATATAGAGGTTGGTTGCCACTTGTGATACCTACGTCTTAAAAAACCTCGTAAAATGTGGTACACATATAAACAATGTCAGCAACATCACATAATAATCTTCTTTATATAGTATAATTTGTATCCAACAGTACTTCGACGATGCGTACCGCTCAAGTCTGTCCTGTATCCTTGTGGATAATATTGAACGTCTACTCGACTACGGACCTATAGGTCCTCGGTATTCCAACCTTACACTGCAAGCACTCCTCGTGTTGCTCAAGAAACAGCCACCCAAGGGTAGAAAACTGCTCATCTTGTGCACTAGTAGTCGGAGGTAGGCTTCAACTTTTAAAAATAATAATAATAATATAAAAGTTTGAGTGTGGATGAATGTTTGTTACTTTTTCATGCAAAACTACTGAATTTAATGAAACTTTACAATAATATACCTTATAATCATATTACGACCTTATAATCGCGGGCACAGCATGTAAAAAATATAAATAGAATATAAAGTAAAGTAAACATATAGTTTAAAAAGAAGTATAAAAGTACTCAAAGATGCATACAGGATGTGCAGTGTAAAATTATGGTCTCTCATTACTGTTACATAGGAGACATTTTTTATTTGATTATTTCATTGCCCTTAACAAAACATAGAATGATGTTGTACGAGTTCATCTTGATATTACAGTAAATCAAAATGTGAATATAAAATCTCGTTTATATTTTTACCGACTATGAATGTCGTCAGTGTTTATGGGTAATCGTTGAATTCAATTTCTTCTAAAACAATGTACCTATAAATAACAGGCTAAGGTGTTTTTATAAACATGATAAAATTTCTTATATAAATAAATACGTTAACAAATATTGGACCCGAAGCCGGACCGGCTTGTTAGTTAATTATTAGATTGCTTACTTTAATTTTACTTCCAGACAGGTGCTGGAAGACATGGAGGTGTTATCGGCATTTACGGGCGTACTTCACGTTCCTAACCTATCACAACCTGAACACGTTCTTGCGGTTCTGGAAGTGAGCGACGCCTTCTCTAAGCGCGACCTCGCCAAGATACAGAGCGAGCTTCGCGGTGCCAAGTATGTAGCCGTATCAACGGCAATTACTATATTTATTATTTTCTGTGTGAAATTGGGTAGCAGCTATAACAATTTATTGATTTATCCTTCAAAACGTCAAGTAATACTTACTTTTATTATTTTACTGTCATTGTTTTTTTCTCTTTGAAAGAAAGTGACGAAATCGCTTTTATCCCAGTCCGTAGTTTTTTAATATCATACTGACAATAATGTTATAAATGACATGTAAATTGATAACATAAGGTTATCTGAATATGTAAATACATCTTTCATTAATCTATTGTTTTTGTTTGCTACAGAATTTTCATAGGAATCAAGAAACTTCTAGCTCTAGTCGACATGGTGAAACAAACAGATGAAGAGAATAGAGTATTCAAATTCCTAACAAAAATGCAAGAGGAGGGAGGCCTAGATATCGGCACTACTATACAATAAGAATCATTGCAACCTTAGGGATTACACGAGCATACCACAAATACGCCCTCACCAGATCTCACCAATGCACATATCTACTCATCTAAAAATGCCATCACCAAAATAACCGAGTCCTCCCCATGCGCGTCCGATCTAAGGAGCTATGAAATCGATTACGACGATATAAGTGAATGCACAGAGTCGTTAATAGATATTAGTCATAACAAAAAAGGTTTAACATCTAAAGGTAACGAGATACCACCGTCCAAAATGCCTCTAATGAGAATCCGAAGTGTGGAGATAATATTTGAAGATGAAATGTCCACATGCACGGACACAGCACTGTTAGACAGGAGTATGGATCTGGTTGTATCTGACAGTGACGACTCTACTAAATGCGTTGATGACTTGGAAAATTTACAAGTTGAGAGAGAAGATAATGACGATTCTGTGACTATAAACGCTGAACCCGATCTATCTGAAGACAATTCAGTTTCTCTAACTATAGAAAATATTATTGTAGACGCACCTAAACCTGAAGTTCCACACATAACATTACACGATGTAGATGTTGCACATGCACAGTCCGGTAATATATTGTCAACTAACGATGATATCACTGTATCTCTAAATTTATCTGATATAGTAGATTCTGGACGTTTCACTGAGGAGGCTAGTTCTTCTCATTTAGAAACTGTCCCCACAGTTTATGGAGACGCAGTGCTTTCAGAATCATTCGATATAATTGATAAAGCAACAACGGCGGGCTCCTGTGAGTTATCAGAGTATACTTTCGGTAATGGAAACAAATCGTTGTTGTATGAATACATAGACAGCGGTAGTGACAGTTCGGATGACACAGCCGTATGCGACGAGGAGCAAACTCAAACAAATCACACATCGTTCTATAACAATCTTATCCTTGCAGTCGAAGAATCGGATGTATGTGACAGCGCAGAGTTACAGTACGATTCCTTTATAGATATGGGGAAATTCTAATCAGTATGTACCTGCTAAGCTTTATTTATATTAATAAATTTGTATTGCGCAATAACATATTTGTACGCTTCTCTATGAATGTTTAAAGGGGATGTATTAATATACATTTGGAACAAATGTTTAAAGGAGTTTGAAAATAAATCAAATAAGGAAATGTTGTCTTAAGATCCTGCAAGATGTGACCTTCCACAATATTTTCTGTGTATTGTCATGCCATGTCTTTTTGTAGTCAAAATCGCAAATTTACAATGTTATAATATTGAATTTGTTAAATTGCCGTACTCAAAAAGAAAAATAAAACCTACAATGACAATTTTCGAAATAATGCCACATTTAGAAAATAATTTTGACAAAAATTGTATTTCACCCTACATATTATACAAATTCATGCAATATGAAAATAAAATAAGGTTTAGGTTTACCATATTGACGAATACTATTTTGTGGCGAGTCCTCTTGTACTTATTAATATTTTGAGAAAATGGATTTGCATACAAGGATTTTTTTACGTTTTTGGCAAAATGCACTTCCACCGTTTAAGTGAAAGTATACCAATTTTAGTATGAGCTATTCTGACACCTTATGTACCTTCCTAATACAATACAGCTTATTGCACAGAGGGAGCTTGGTGGTATGCGGCTCTCGTAACCATGTCTTGTCGCTTTATGACTGACCGATTATTAGACATGTATATGTAAAATAATTTATGTAAATAACAAATCTTTCTTTCCGATAGTTGAAAGTTTAGTGTCTAAATATCTTTTTGTGCACAATGACATGGTTACCGATATCCCAGGGTTGTAAGTCTAGGCAATAGCTCAATTTGACAACGTATTATATTTTTTATATAGATTTTTTATTTTGTTTAATTGTTATTGAATTGTGATGCAGCTTGATGCTGTCTTATTGCGTTGAATACTTATTAGGTATATTTTAATTATTGTGTAATATTGCAAATAGCTAATTAAGGGAATGACATTGTCAATATATTTATAATAGTATAAAATTACGCGAGATTATTGTTGTTACATAGAAGTAGAGCAACAAAGCTTTTACGTGAAGCGAACATTTTGCCTCAAGTACATTACTAATGTTAAATGCTTGAGTAATATTATATTTGCACATATTGTAATCAAGATACAGTCAATTTTAATGGGCACTGTTGGGAAAGAGGTTAATAGAAGAGTCGGTAGAAATGTACGAAAGTATAAGTATTCGCTTCTTAAAAATTTGAATAATATTATATGAAATCATTATACATGTAAGGTTCTAATAGTATTTATTAAACTGTTTAACGTAGCATCGTTGTCAATACAAACAAGATTTTATCTTTGGACATTTACTTAATATTAATCTATTTAAATGATTATTAAAAAATAATTATAGAAAATACTAGAGTTGTTATTACCAATAGATATTTATTGTTACCACTTTGTTTGTTTAGATTTGTTGATGTCTTTGGTATATTATATTACAACATTCCATCTTCACACACATTCATAGAACAATTGAACTTTAGGTGAAAATAACAAGACTTAAAAATAAGGTTTTCTTGTATCAGATGTTATAAGCTTTTAGAAAATGTTATAGATCTATAGCGCTTGAATGTTAAACTTACATTTTGTATGTTGAATTATGAAACAGCTAGATGACATGTTCAATTATTAAACATAGCCACACAAAATAACTACTTAATCAAATTGTTATAATTATAATAACATAATTTAATAATAAGATTAACCCTGATCAATTATATATTTAAACGCTTTTTAGTGGCTATGTCGAAACTGTGTAGATCTGAATTTGTTGCGAGAATAAAGTGTTTTAATGATTGAACTTGAATTATTATTTATCCGGATTAAGATCCTTGCCTGTACGAAAATTACTCCATCAATCTACTAGGGTCTGGTAATAGTTAGCAGTATATAAATCAACTTAATAACAAAATCCATGTATATTTTCCTGCAAGATGTTGTCACTAGACAATTGTTACAAAGGGGTAATAAAGAATCAAGATTAGTGATAATAAAAAAAATGGCACATATAGTCAGACAAAGAGATTTTATTAATATTTCTTATTTATAAATACCTATTTAATACAATTATATAATATGAAGTATTAAAAAGTCCGTACAAATTTTAAAAGATACATTTTATATTTTTAGTAATTAGCTCGATTTCTCAATATTAAATAACTTTTATCTTCAAAATCTTCCGAAACGTCACAATTATATTCTTCCAAATAATAAAGTAGTGTTTTTTGAAGATTAATACAAATAGATATTTTATTACGTTTGACTTTATATTATATTGAGTTATTGGTAAAAAATAACAAAATTACTTATATAGTATATTCAAAGTTTATAATTTATAAGCCATTAGTTCCATATGCCTACCAGTATCACCGTTATTTTAAAACAACTTTATTGATATACTGCATGGTATACAATAGCCAAATAAATGGTCAAGTAATCCTATCCATGTCATAAAATGGCTGATTACTAGTATAGTTCTATATTCAAGGCTTGTATATTAATTTTGTCAAATTGTACTGATAGAAATTTCCATAAAACAAATGGAAAAATAATTAATTCAATTTATTGATAGTCTTAATTAATAATAATGTATAAATGAAGCAAATTCAAATGCACATATTCAAAACATGTCTTGAATCTTAAATAAAATAACATCCTAATTAGCGCTTTCACAGGCATCAACCCAGTCATTATATACATCTATTGGTTCCGACAGCACATTTGTTGTTGTTTGGAAATCTTCTAAGCACACCATGCATTGTATCCTTGCAGTATTTCTAGCTCTATCCCTACAAAGAAAAAAAAATACAAATATTTCAAATTAAATGTTATAATGGCTAATAAGTAGAAATACAATATACAATAACAAAGATATACAACTTAGATATATATATATATTTATATATGATTGGGTGTGAGTTTGCAGAGGTCAATTTCATTAAATGAAAATATGCATTCTGCAGTCAGTATTTTAAACACAAAAATAAAAACTATTTTGTATTCTGGATGTATAATGTAGAAAGTATTTATAAATAAATACATTGTGTAAACTGTTCTGTACATTGCTGTCCATTAACATACAGCTATAAATAGTCTCAAACTAATCAGATCTGGAAGGGGGATTTGGGGACCAGAAACTATTATAGTTAATTACAGCGGAAATTGCCACAATAGGCTGACTGACCTAACTGCATTCTCCATTGATGCCCTGCCAGCTTGAACCGATAGTGTAAGTGGGTGTTGGGTGGTTGTTTAACAATAAAAAAAGAAGAGAGGTGCAGTCGTCCTTACAAGAATCTGTTGTAAATGTGTGAATTTGTTAACTTTAATTCCACCTCTTCGGATTTTAATGACACACTTGCACACTAACGTTTATAATTGTCAAACATGTGAAGCAAATTAAGTACCTACATTAATAATTAATGGAACCTAATTTATATTTGAGATACACATACATTAAATATGTATGTGTATCTCAACATTAAATATTTATTATTGACACCTAATGAGGTGTCAATAATAAACATAATAAATATTGGATATTACAATTATATCTCAAATTTGCAAATACTGAATTGGTTTTAATGAATGACGTTTACAACTTACATTTTCACCTCACAGGATTTTTCGTGATTACAAAATGGGCAGTTGAATTGCTGGTCTAGCGGTTCTATAGCTTTTCGCTTTGGTGGAGGCTTTCTTTTTGACTTACGGCGACCCATAATAAGCTGAAAATAAATAAACGGTTAGTGAAATCTTTCTCTCTATTTACAAAGTATTTTATTATAAATATGGTTCAGACATCTTTTGTATAATTATTATATTTCTATCCGAATAGTCAGCTGAAAATTAAAACAGTATTAAGTAGGCACTTACAATTTATTATTAAATAAAATATGTAAAGGACAAAACACCGAATGGTTCCGAATCAAAGAATATACTATTCTTTGATACTATGTTCCGAATACTTCAGTAAAATCTGACGACTGTCATAGTCTGTCTGTATCAATGTGTCAAAATACAGAAGATCGTCGCCTGTTATCGTTTATTTGTTGAAAAACTGTCAATGTCAAAGTTACAATTTTCAAACAAACTTCGTTCGTGTTCTTGTTCTAAAATACTTGCTTGATTTTTGTCTGTTATTTCCTTATATTATTCCTCTTATATTCTTAAATGTTTTTACAAAATTATTAAACTATGTCTCCATATTTTCTATTGCCCATTATATGGGTATTGTCTTTAAGGGGTAAGTAAATAAATTTTTTACGTTGTTTAGTTGAGCACTATATGTTAACGCCCAACATGTTTGTTGTTACAGTTGCTTTAATATCTGCGGAATGCACAATTCCTGTAGTTCTAAGGAATACATGGTTTTCATTTGAAAATGGAAAACAGACTATTACCGATATAAATGCCAGTGAAATGACGGGAAGGTATAATAATTACAATTTTATTTATACATTAGCCACCTATCGTCGGCCGGTTGTATATAGGAAATTAATTTCAATCTGCACAAATAAAAGAAATTAAAGTGCCAGCTTGTAATTACAAGCTTATCAACAAATGAACAGCTTGTCACCAAATGCATATGAAAGTATATACGGTACTTACATGAAAAAAATACTAATAATATAAAACAATTTTGTCTTGCTAATCTCTGACGACTGGACGATTACAATGTCATTTTCACTCACAGATTCATAAGAAGTAATTAAAACATTTTTATTTCAAAACTGTTATTTATTTCAATAAAAAAGCTTTAATTAAATACTGAGGAAGTTGCAAAGTTAACTAGTTTTTTATTAAAAGTTGATTATGTTTCTAAAAATTATTTTCGTTTCTTTTCCTACTTTTAATGAATATATATTTTTAGGGGAACTTGTGTCAACATAAAAGCAGATTACCATGTTAATTATACAATGGTATTTCGTTATACAACATGCTTTTATTGTGTCAAACTTATAGTACGGACAGTTAATGTACTGGAGAAGATAGAAACACCATGCGTTGGCATTCCTGAAACTGAAGCAACTGTTGAAAGAGTTTGTAGTGGACTGAAACCAAACCAGCAACTCATTACACTATTTTCTGAAAATTATGTCCCCGTAAGTGTTTATAATTTATTTTATAGCTATCCTCTCTGTCTTTGCATGGGTTAACATGTAATATTAGATTATAAACCTTTTTCTTGAATCATATTATTGCTAAAAATGGTCAAAATGAGCAAATAATTATATTAAAATGTGTCATAAATATAGATATATGTATTCCTAAACAGAAATATGCATATAGTAAACAACATATATAAATACTACAAATATAATTATACAATGATTAAACTTATATGATTTCACTAGTTTCTTAACCATGTAAAGAATCACATCAAATTGTATTACCATAAAATTTGTAAGTAACTTAGTCAAAGTCAAACAATTAGTAATGATTTATTACAATTTTAGGTCAATTGTCGCTCATCCCTAGAAGGTGTATGGCAGTTTGGATACCAGAATCGTTTTCGCTTCACTGGGGAATGTAACCACCCTGACGCACAAATAAAGTCATGCCAAACGGCTGGCACACAATTTCTGATCACAAATCAGAAGTTTAACATCACTTACAGAAAGTGTGAGGGTATGTCAGGGACATTCAATGGTGTTGTTGAATATAGTTGTTTAGGTAAGTAACCACTATAATAAATACCCTTTATATGCTTCTTAAAAAACATAATTGTTAAAATTATGTTTGTCACACATTTTCAAAATTATACCCAATTGAAATGGGTATCGAAATTACGACGGCTTGAGCAGATGTTGGAGCCCCTTAACGGCGCCTTCACATTGCAGTTTGTGGTATAGTAGTCATTATGTCACGCAGGAAGTGGCCACATTGGCGGGAAGGAGTGCCCTCTGCAGTAGCCCCATCACAGTCACAAAAAAAATCTCATTTTTTTTTATTGAATTATGTACAGTTGCAGAAAAGATTTATAATTGTGCAGGTGACACTCCTGGTAATTCAGGCGTCCATAGGCTATGGGGACCATTAACCAGCAGGGTCATATGCTTGTGTACCATTATAGTCTAAAAAAAATCACAAACAGATTTCACAAACTATGGAGAATTGGTGTTGCTGGTAGAGGTGGTAACTTTTAGTAATAGAACTGCAGCTTTGTGCTACTTAGCAGTTCATTTTCATAGAGATTAAGAAAGTTTTTCGGAATGATTAGTGTTGACGGAAATAAGTTACCTATAAAAAGTAACTTACCTCTACAGTTGATACTATAGTTCACAAAGTAAGAAAAAGGACAATGAGACAATTTCTTAAACTTGTCAATGCCCTTTTCCAACCACACCAGGATTGATCACTTTCCTGAGAATTATAGTAGATTTATAGAGATGATCAGGTATAATACCGATATATATAGTTTGGGGTACCATGCAACAAGGATTACAACCTTATAAACACTGTATTAAAGGGATTTGAATTTGCGCGCTTACTAATTTTATCTTATAATCTCACTAAGCCTTTAATCTCCATATGTGTCAACAGATGAAATAAATTATGTTGTTAAGTACTTATATGTATTTTGTAAGCAATTAATCTTTCCCAAGGACTCTTGACTGTTAATGAAGCGCAAAATATAATAATTTATGTGCTTTCCTATTTGAAAGGTCTACTCTCTGATATATTAACTTTACTATAATATCTATGTATATACTAACATACTACTTTCTACTTGATATACTAACTTTCTAAATTAGCTGCTACCGACGACCATATCTGCTTTTTTGGGATAAAATATAGCCTTTGTCCCTCAAAGTATAATAATAATAATATTATGTAATGTATCTTCATGTAAAATTTCATGAATATCATATTGGTCATATACTTGTAAAAAGGTAACAATCTATCAATGCTTATTATTATTACTGACTTACTTAGATGATAAAAGGTTTGTTATTCTATTGCAGGACATTGGTTTGTAGATAAAAATCACTTTTTCGCTGTTGCAAACACAAAAGAATCTCGTAAAGATGAAAGATATCGGTGTTTTTTGAAGAACAGAGATGACGATTTATATATAGGCGCTTCTATAACCCCGGAGTGTAACGCTTTGAAAACAGTTGAAAAATCTCCAGAGAGATATCGAGTTACGCCTGTAAAGGCAGAGGTTGTGGAACCAGGGTGCCGGTTGCCGCAGAATTTCTCAGGAGAGTGGATCAATACTGCAAACATTGATGCTGATGTGTTTATTAACGAGACACATATTATTGAAACACACTACCCTGATGAAAGCAGATACAGGCGCACTATTTATGTATGCAGGTAAATAATCTTTGAATTTTACAGAGTGAGAGAGAGAGACTTTTTATGGACTACTCTAATGCAATTGGTTACAGCTGTCCATTACAGCTTCACCAGACGATAGAGGGCGAGTGCAGACGGCACTCCAAACCCGCGGAAAAACTTATGGAGCGGCTGAAGGCCAATTTCCGCCTGATGGATATGAATTTAGTCTGAGAGAACTGTTAACTTCGGCTCAGGCCGTCGTAATTTCTATGCCCCTTTGAATTAGACATAATATTGATCGAAGGAGCAAGAGAGACTGTACTTATATTGTTATTTATGGTGCCTCATAAATGTATAATATTACTAGTTACAAAAAAATGGCATATTATCTAAGATTATGTGTACCTACATATTATATTGTTTTTTAATTTCATTTTATGACGTCATATTAGTTATTTAAGATTATCTTATATTTATTACAGTGTTTTGAATCTTAAATTTTAACTCAAGTGCCTCGTTGGTCTAGCGGTTTAGCACTTTACTTACGATGGTAGCGGGTTTGATTCCTCGCACGTTTGCACTCATGCGTATGATTGTTTGTATCGGTCTGGGTGTACTCTATTTATATTATGTATGTATTTAAAAAAAATATCTATGTATTTATATCAGTTATCCAGTACACAAGCTCTGCTTAGCTTCGGCTAGCTCTAGATGGCGCTGTGTGAATTGTTTGAACAATTCACACTTAATTCTACTCAATATTTTACGTAATAATAATAATATTATTATGTAAAATCATTCTACAGGGAACAACGCGACAGCAGAGTCATGATGGCTCGTCTCACAGTAGATGGTTGTCAAAAAGATTACGTATGCTTTGATTTCGTCCCGCAACATCACAATGTTATAAGGTAACTATAAAATAAATATCTATAAAGGAAGTATTTCGACTCTTGTATCCTTGTGATAAAATCTATTTTCATGGTAGATTCCAATAAGATTCATTTAAAGTTATTTTTTTCTATATTAAAGACATTTTTGGCCACTTATGTATGACAATATTTTCTATCTAACGTTCAGTTCAACTACCAACTTAGTTGAAATGAACTGACAAGAAACTACTTCTAATCATTATTTTAATGTAGTTTTTAGAATGTGTATATGTTTAACATATTTATTATATAATGTTGTGTCCTGTAAAGGTAAAAACATACTTACGAATAGATAAGTTTTCGGCTTTATAATGTCCCTATAGACAATTTAAAAAATGTTATGCATTACAGGTACCGCAAAGGTCTAGCGATGATTCAAAGCAATTTTCATACTGTTTGTTCATGGGTACAATTCCCCAACAAACAAAACTGGCGCTACGATATCTTTCTCAAAAAAGACCCGTCGCCAATACGATGTCCAGTAGCAGGGAAATTTAATTTCACACAGAGAGGCGATGTGAGGTTTGAAACTAGGATTCTTGGAGGAGTTACGTTGAGTCCCCGACCTAATCTGTACTGCAAATTGAACATCAGCGATTTCTCAGTATGTGATACCGACCAGAAAACAATACAGATAAAAGAAAATTATTGTCTATCTGTAGATTATTTGGGCAGGCCTGTGGATATTTACAGTGATCCTGACTATCGCATGAAATGTATTGGATACTGGAAAGAGAATTTGAAGTCTTACCTTATAACTTATGATGAATTGGATCCTTTCTCCAAATACAGATGTTGGGTGTATCAGAGAGCTGATCTCAATAGGTAATCTTAAAATATATTGTACAAAGTATACTTTTTATGACATTATATATGTTATATTATATACAAATTTGCAACTATGTTTCAACCTGCTTCTTTGATATTATAAATAATAATAATAAAGCCTTTATTCAGATATTTTTTACATTTTGTTATTACTGGCAGTAAATAATAAGTTCAGAAATGGAAATGAAAAAGATAATGATTTTACTTTTTAATAATATTTTGGTTTATAATGTTGATTAGAGAATAATTTACATTTAAGCGAAAGTTATCTCAATGTAGCATACAAATCGATTGCTTAATTTTTATGTCCAAAAGGAAATTAAGGAAACTTTCGTATTTATATTTCATTTTTTAATTCGGCGACAATAACTAATATTTTATACTTATATAGATATGACCTTATTATTATTTTATTTTACAGAGTGCTCATGTCACAGGCTCTGGGACCATACTGTGATCTAAGACAAGATGTGACATCTTGGAACTACACAGAGGGTGCTGCAGTTGCCGTAGAAATGGAAGAATATGAAAGAGAACGTGATCAGTGCCCCATGCACTTTGACGACGGTAGTGACCCTTGGTCCACCAAAGAGAATTATATAAAAGTATTTTCATTTAGTTATTCATTTTGGAGAAGTAATAGTGCTACGACGGTAGAATTATGCTTCGGAACAATCTTTATGGTAGTTTTTTTAACATTAATACAATAATACAGTCAATTTAGGGTTTAAAAAAAAGACACCTTTAAAAATCATTGTCACAGCAATTTTACCAGTAAAGTTGTCATTTAGGTCTGCAGTGCCTTATGTAGAAGTGTCTGGATATTGGACCTAGTATGCATATGTAGTTTATACAGTGATACATATTCACATATTATTCGTTATAATGTGATTTTTATAGTTAGTCTAGCACACTTTTACATAGTCATATTACTCTTTATTATATGTGCCTTAAATATAGTGTAATATTATTTGACTGTAATAGATATAGGTTTTTTATTACGTGTCAATAAATAAGTGAAACTCGACAAGTCTCAAAGAATATTTCATAGAATCTCTGTTTAGAATTGTGTTCATTTTTTTTTATTTTAGGGCATATTATTTTTAAATATATTTTTTTAGATATTATTTGTGCAAAATGTAATCGTTTTAAAATTATATAGATGGAAAAAGATCTATTTAGTATGAACTTACCTAATCTATATATGTTTCCTTTAAACAATGTAAAAAATATAGAATTTTACACTTTATCATAGTGTCTAAATGAACCAAGTAGTATGATAGAGCAAGTAATTCAACAACGGTACCTTAAGGTTTAGTGGAATAATCACTAAAAATTAATTAATGGTCAACAAAAAATATTATTACGTGTAATTTGTAATTATTTTTTGGTTCACCTGTACATTAAAAAAAAAATAATTATGTTAAGTAGTAATTTTACTATCAATAAAACTGTCTTATTTTACGGTATTTTTTATACCTATTTGTTAAGAAGTACTTTAATTCTTTTTTATAATAAGTTTTTATACTGACTTCTAGATTATATATTTAATTCTGCTGTGAATGACAAGTCCGTCCATTTTTTTTATTGTCTATATTATTCAATATTTTTAATTTAGTTGTGAAATAAGTCCGTCCAGTTCTTTTTTAGTTTTCTATTTATATTTTATAATGTTTACTGTATACATTAGAATAATAATAAAGATGATTTAATTGTACCCTGTACTTTTATTGTTAACTAGTAACATTGATCATTTAATCTTTATAATGCATGAAAAATATAACACTTTTCTCATTCATATCACAAATTAATTTTTATTTATATATTTTGAAATGTTTGTTAATTATTGAGCTACACTATGGTGTAATACAAAATTCTGCAATAATTTATATTTTTTTAGACATATCAATACCTTATGCTTACTTTTGTGATTTTAGTAAGCAGATAATGCTCAAACTTACATGTGTTGCTAATGTTGATTTGCATTTTTACTATCTCCTATTTATTACATTTTTAACTTTATAAAATTCTGTATTAAATTTTACTTTTGTAAAATGTATGTATGCTTGTTTATTTTATTGGTATATTTTCTAATTTTGACGATTGTTTAATTAATATATTTTAATCCTTTATACCAATACTATACTATTTGTGTTACAAATATTTCTGTACTTAATTTACAATCTTTGAATATAATAAATAGTCAGTCAAAAATTTGGATGGATTGCATGGGAATGGAAAACAATGAGTGATATGACCACTGCTGTTTGATTCCATATCTGCTACTGCTAAATGAGTATGAAATAATACAAACACAGTTATATTATTAATATTCTTTATTAAATAAAATTAGAAGTATACATTAAGTATGTATAATATATACAGATTATTTTGTCCAAGATACTTTTGGTATATCAAAGTGTTCAGTCAGACTGTCCAGATGTTGATTGAATTTCTCCACTCTTTGCTTGTGAGTCATTTCTGCTTTTTGTTTGATCCTCTGCTTTTGCTGTAATTTTAAGATTGACAATTATAACAGTTATTTTCATTAACACACTGATATTATTACTACATAGGGCTATGGCCATATTCATATTTTAATGTTGACACAAAGAACCTATGTACATGAACTATACCATGGAAATGCAGGTAACATGCAACATTCATCACGTGACACTCATATGAGGTATTAATCAGCCAATGCCATGAATATATTATCTTTCTCCTTCAGAACCTTAAAATGTCAATCTTACAGTTGACGTTTCAAGGTTCGACAATCCAAATACAGTTTAAGTAGCAATTTGAAAGTTGCACAAATAGATGATACAGAGATATTGAAAAACAATAATAAGTGTCATGCCCCAGTCTTGCATGAATATACCAATAGGTATCATTAATAATTTTAATAATGTAAAGATGTTCAAGTTACTTGCTGATAATGTAACTTTAATAATGAAAGTATTTTATCTAATATAATAAACTTTAACTGAGTGAGCAACATTTAGAAATTATGAAGGAAGTATGAGCTATACTTCCTACATTATCAAAGTAACAGTTGTATACAAGTAAATGACACAGAATAACTGAAAAACAAATATATAATTACTAACCAAAGTAAATGATATAAAAACACATTATTCTAACAATATTCTATCAATAAAATGACAAGACACTATTTATCTAGTTGAAGCCTTTCTAGTATCAGCGTAGACCACTAGGACTAGAAAATTGGCTTACTTTTGTGTTAGATCCAGAATTTTTTCATTTAAGTTCTATTTAGTGTCTCAACAGATGTTTTTACACAACCTCAACAATATAACAACAATTTATACAGTTAGTAAAATAATATATAATAATTCCAAGGCTTACCATTTTTTCTTGCATTTTCTGGAAAGTAATTTCTGCTTTTGTACGTTTATCTTCTGGTGCTTGTTGTTTTATCTGTTGTTTTACATCCGCTTCCATCATTTTCTCTGTATCTTTATTGGTTTTCTTCTTCTTTTTCTTTTTGATTCCAGAATTATCCTTGATTTTAAGCTGGCTTCTATTCACACACGCATATTCGTCTTCTTCCACCATATCGTTAAGGGAACTAATGATTTGATGAATCAATTAGGATGTTCAAAATTATAAATAGTATTCTAAAATAATTTTAACTTAAAATACTGAAAGCGTGATTGTTGAGTATTAGAAATTAGATTTATAGAAAAATAGAACAACAAACAATAAGTCATAACACAAAGCAGACATTTGATGATACTGACATCTTGATTGACAGCAAAATGTATTAGGAATGACAGCCTGACTCATCGATAATTTTTTGAAATGGCAATTTGACTTTTTTACTGGTTGGTTGCTATATTTATTATATATTTATTTATTTATTTCTGTATGCTCATACAAATTCTTTGTGAAACACATTGAATAGAACTAAGAGTGAACTGTTTAATATACAACAACTTAGAGATATGACTGAAAGAGATTGAGTGGATTATTAAAGCTATTAATGGTTTACATTTTTATTAATTATGTATATTATCATTAATTGTATAATAGTAGTAGTACCTATTACTATTTTACACATGATATGAATTGATGCCAACAAGCCTTTTATACACACACAAGGCCAAGTAGTGATTTACTACCCGACTTACACTTAGAGGTTCTAAGTTCGACCGATATTAAAAAAACAATCTTAATATATCTATTATTCTACTGATGGAAACATCAACAAGAAACCAATTTCATATGGGAGACGTGTTGTCGCAGGCAGAAGAGTTGCTTAGTGCTTTAGATGAATCCAGATATTTGAAAACATACCTAGCGGAATCTAGACATGTCACATGATATATTCACGATAACGTCAATTTTCTTTCAATGGAAATTCGATTTGTTAATTCAGTTTATGTTTATGTTTTGCAGTGCATGCAAATAATTTTATTTGTATAATAATAGATACAAATAATTTGTTATGGTTATTTTAATTAGCGATGTTCAATGTGTTTATTTTTCGATTTCCTTTCGTATACTTATGCAACGCTTTACAAAAATAGTACTTACATATACTACAGCTATAGGTATATGTCCTTTAGTTCAACAATTTTTGGATTCGTATAAATCCTTAGATATATGTATTATATTTAGTAAGGAGTAGTTGTGATATAATTACTTAAGTTAGAACATTCTCATAATATTATCGTACAATAACTTCAGAGCATCCTAAATCCTAGATGGGACGTCTCCCTTGAAACATTACAATGGTGCTAAGAATACATTACCCCGGAGGGTGGCAGGTTGGACCACTAGCAAATATCATAAATAAATAATGTGATTGTTCACAACAAAAGAGCGGGAATGAATGGTGTTTCTTGGCGTTATCAGGAGCGCGCACGCGCGCTGTCCGCCGACGCGTACGGCCCCGAGATTAGTTCGATTTCAGGCCACGTGGCGCCACGTGCGCTACAACTACCCTCCAAATGAGATTAACGGATTTGCACACTACAGATTGCACACGAATGGGCAGGAAGTGTAAAGTGAAACGGCGGTAATAAGATTCTTTGTGGGTTCACTATGGCTGTAATGAGAAAACTATTGTGCTACAAAAATCTATATACCTACCTACAAAAATAACTTTACTATAATATTTTGGTAGTTAAATATGTTATTTAATTTTTCTGTAAGACTTCATCGGGTTAAAAAGATATGAAACATAAAAATTGCATTTGATTTAAAAATATTTAATTCAGTCGGTGATCGAAATTACTACGGCCTGAGCCGAGGTTCGAACCCCTAGCAGTGTCCTGAGACTAAAGACGTATCCGTCAGACAGGAGTTGCCATTCAACCGTTCCATAAGTCCGAAACTGTAGCCAATAATAATTACTATCAGGATTTTCAAAGTAGGTAATTATAAAGTATTTTGATTGGTTATAAGACAGTAGATATCGCCAAACTTAAGTTTAAGGGGTGGCACGTGTCTCTAGTCCTGACAATGGGGAACACCTTATCGTCCTGTTTCATCAGTAGTCAGTAGGCTAGCTACGACTTGGCGATCTGAATGGCTCTACAATATTCGATTTGCATTTGTTTGTAGGCTTTCAAAGTCAAGTAAGTACTCAAAAAACTTGACCTTGAATTAGGCATATCAGTTTTTATTTGATATGAATATGGAATTGTGCACCCGCCTGCGTTAACGGTACGCTGAGGTAAGTCAAGTCAAATCAACCTTACAAATTTTACCAGTTGTAAAATTTGTAAGGATTTGACTTTCCTGTGTAGATTACTATTTCTTTGAGTATATTAGAAATAAAGATAGAAGTAGTAGTTATTTTATCATCTATCGAATTATTTAGATTTGACTTATATCCATCCTTGGAGAGTTAGATATAGGTATACATAAAGTTTTGGCTGCCAATATATTTAAAACATTTTTTTGTATTACATCTACCTACTATCGATGTCGATAAAAATCGAAGTACAATACTAAATGAGCGACTTGTTTGCTTATTAACATCACTTGACATATAAAGTCGCATTAGCGTATAAATCTAAATAAATCGTCAGCTCAAGCTGTAGGAACAAAGCCTGGCTCTTAATAGACATTAATACAGCATTAGGTGTAAGGGCGACGGCACACGCCAGCGCCGCCTTGTTTGCCAAACTGCCCTAATCCGCTATTTGTAATGTATGGTAACCATAATTTGCTGCAAAACATGGATATATCACGAACAAACTTAGCAACTTACAACATATTTTATTAAATATGTTTTAAGTAATAATTGTTACTTTATTTATGTAAGTGTATTATAGCATTTACCAACGACGTCGTCTGCTTTTTTGTGACAAGAGATGTCATATGTCCGTACTCGTTTTATAATGTAAATACACCAAACATTAAGATCCTTTCAGCAATTTAGACGTGAAAATGTAACAAACATACAGATATGATATTAGACACATTGTATTTATAATAGAAGCAGTAAGCAGTATGGTAATTTGTTGGTTTATTGAAAAGGCCTAATACCTTTTATGAAAAGTTATCTGTTTCTAACATATATCGATTTTTATACTTTATCATGAAATTTATCATATTAACATATTAAACTTTTTAAGTGTGATTCAATACCAAATATTTAAATATAACATATTAAGTAAAAATAATAAAGTAGTAGGTAATACTGACGTAATATAAAAAAGTATATACATATATAACCAAAAATTAGAAATCATAGTCACCCTGAATGTTGCAGATTGCCGCTTTGACTTCCAAGAGGAAATCCTTTTCCCACGGGTTTTATTCAAACATATGTAAAGCGTATGATGGATGACGCCGACGCGCGTCACCATGCCACGCCACCCTTAAGCGGGGGTAGTTAGCCGTTTAAATCATAATCATGACCCCTAATTTTTGTTGCTGGTCACCGAACGACTTGAAATTTATAATGTAATTTATACTATAGGTCTAGTTCTGTGAAAGAGTTGAAATGGCACACGTCGGTATCATTGTGCTTTTTATTGTCATTGACCTAGCGCCCAGGAGTATAACGTTACAAGTTAATATTGTATAGGGAATTAATTGAGGGTACAACATTTTATGACTATATGGATTTTTTAAATTTGCAATATTTTATTGTGTGAGTTAAATTTTAAGTTTGTTGTTTCTATACGTATATATTAATATTATAAAGTTGAATTTGAGATGAAGACTAAACGGCTGGCCTGATCTGTATGAAATTTGTGATCAAAATTGTCAACTAAATCGTAAAGTATAAAATAACAATAATAAATACTCTTTATTACGTACTGAAAAAGTATAAATGTGCTTAACAAAAGGCGGCCTTATCGCTTAAAGTAGAAAACCTGTCTTATTTAATGTCTCTTATAGAATTCATATAAATATTTAAATTCAATTTTAATCCAAATTCAGTGTATCGATAATTATAAAAAATAATTCAGAATGGATTACGGTTTAGTTGTATCTTCTCTTTTACTCTTCACTAGCTGCTGTATGTGGCACTGAGAGGAACACTCCAGTGATTTCAGATAAAAAGTGTAATTTATCTGGAATCTATGGCAAACGTTCGAATCAGTCTAGTAGTTTCAGCGTGAAAGCACAGACAAACTCCTCCATTATCACAAATGTCTCTTGTAATACCTAGATTAATGAAAAGAGTATTCTATCATTTTTATCGGTAAAATCCCATAAATAATATGACCCTTTGGCTCGGAGTGCTGGAGGCGTCACCGACATCAGGGCTATGGGTTGCCGGTTATGCAAGACTTGGAGGGCGAAAGCGGCAAAGTTTTCCCATTACGTCGCTCGTAGACATTAGCAGCCCTCTCGGGTTCATTAAAATTTGTCAGCTTGTCGTATAGGACTAACTTCGGAATGGATGTTACCAACTTTTCTAAGTGAAACTCCACTGACGTAAAAACTTTTCACGATTTTGACTTGCCATTTTTTCGACGCCATCAATTTCGCAGCCCGTCAAGAAGATTATTCGCACTCGTAATGCGGAAAAAAGAGTAATTTAAGTTCTCCAGAAGAGTCGTTGCGTGGGAGTTATGATCTTAGTTTGAAACTTTGATTGATTTATAAAACCCGTGCTGTCTACCTAAGACATTGGGGATTGAAAAATTACAATTAGGTACCTATTTAGAAGCACTTAAAACGGACCAAATTCTCACATTAACTAGATATATTCTGTTCACGATTTCTTCTGCAGATATTAATTTCCAATCTAAATGACAAATTTCATAATGAACGGTTAAATTGTCATGAAATAGTCATAGGGATGTAAGTATAACAAATAAACGAATTAAAAATATAAGTAGGAGTTAGTAATTTAAAACTTTGAGACCCTAATTGAGAAACTTCTTACTGTAGTCTGTTAGCAAACAATAAACATAAAATACTAAAATGCACCCTATCCAAAACCAGTTCATATACTTAATTCGATTAAAAAAACAACATTTGAAATCTTTTCGCCTGTGAGCAAAATGACAGCAAACAGTTACTCGCGACCACCCGAACCAGTCAATGTTATTGTTCCCTTTACGATAGGGGGTTAAATGAGCTCAGTATCGGAGGGTGGCTGTGTAGGGACGATAGTTTCGCTTTTAACAGATGTAATTGTGTTCGAATGAGTGAGCTACAAACACCAAGTGGGAAAAAATGTCGACGTAATTAATGAGGTATCTACTCCATTAATGTCTTGAAAAATGCGTTCAATTTGTGCAACTTTTTCTGCTTAAT